GCCAAATTAATATTTTTCCAGTAATTCCGTACCACTCCAACTTTTTAAAAAGAATTTTGTGATCTATAGTATCAAAAGCTTTTGCAAAGTTAATGAAAACACACAAAGTAAATTGAGAATTTTCAAATGAGTCAGATATATTTCTTGTAAATTGTAGAATGGGATGTTCAGTAGAATTGTTTTTTTGGAATTTATATTGATTCCAAAAAAACAATTCTACTGAACAAGTAAGATGACTATAAATTTTATTGTACATAATTCTTTCTAAAACTTTAGGGAATATAGAAAGGAGTGAAATAGGACGATAGTTACTTATATTCTCAATGTCCCCACTTTTTAATATTGGTATGACTTTTGCTAATTTTAGAGTTTGTGGAAAAATTTCCTTTTTTATTGATATTGAACAAATTTTAAAGAGTATATCTTTTAGAAGATCAAATGAACTTATAATAATGTTGCCATTAATACCATCAGGGCCTACTGCTTTGTTAAATTTTAACATTTTAAAGGCATTTTCAAACTCTTTAAAAGATAATTCAAAAAAGTTCAAGTAAGAGTTTAGAGGGAAACATAGATCGTTCATTAAACTGTTCGCTATAGGAATTTTTTTTGCCAGATTTGGTCCTACAGACACAAAATATTTATTAAATTCTTCCGTAATTTGTCTTTTATCATATAAAAATTCATTATTATGTTTAACCGTGTTTGGCAACGAGTGAGATGTACATTTTTTGCTGCCAGTAATTTCTGTTATTATAAACCAAGTGCGTTAAAAATTAATTTATATATATCTAGTAAATTTAAATGATAATTTTTTTGTGTGTTTTCTTGAGGCTTTCAAAAAGTTTAACTTAACTTTTATATATAATTTTATTTTCATTTGTTTTAGATTTTAAGTAACTAATGTTTAATTTTTGTTTAATTTTTGAAGACTTCCGCAAACCCTTTGTAATCTAAGGCGATTTAATACTTTTAGCTTTAAGATTTAAATTAACATCCGGGAAATTAGTTTTGTAAATATCATAGAAAGTTTTAAAAAAGGAGTTATAAACTAAGTTTGTATCATCAGAGGTGTTAATAATTCTCCAATCAATTAGAGATAATTGTTCCTTAAAAGATTTAAGGTTTTCATTTGTAAAAATTCGCTTTTTGAAAACTCGTTTTTCATTAGGAACTAATTTATTATCTATATTTATAGAAAGGAAAATAGGAAAATGATCAGATATGTCATTTTTAATTATGCCCTTTTTTAAGGATTCGTTAAAAACATCAGTGGTTAAAATATTAATCCCGTGTGATTAATTTATTATATATAACTTTACTTACCCTTTGCCCTTAAATCTTTTGCCTTATTCAGGAGTTTTTTTCGCAATTCCATCGTATGATCACTATAATCTTCATTTATGTAAACCTTTTGAGTCCACAATTTCATCGTCGTGTATTTTCTTAATATCGTGGCTTTGTCTTTGTAGTTAAGAAATCTGACTACGATCAATCTGTTTTTTTTATTGTTTTCAGGTAGTTTCTTTCCAACTCGATGTGCTCTTTCAATTTCAAATTTTTCGTGTAGCTGAAGTTTATTATTTAAAAACTCCCTTACTTTATTATCACTGTCCTCCCAGCTTTTATTTTTAACTTCTTCAATCCCGCAGAACCTTAAGTTGTTGCGTCGACTTCTGTCTTCAAGTTCAGCCAATTTGTTAATCATGTTAGTATTTGCATATTCATTTATCAATGATGTTTTTGATGTTTGACGATCAGCAACTATTTTATCATAATTATTACTCACAAATTCAACAGTTTGCTTAATTCCTTTTTTTGTTCCTTATTCTCGTCAATTAATTTTAAAGTTTAATTAATTTTCAAGCTTTTCAATTCTATCATTAAACACCTTCATAATAGTATTTTCATGAATTTCCAAAATATCTTTTAACTGTGCAGATGTAAAATTTTTAGTAGCCATTTTGAAATTTTTTTGATAACCAGTAAGTAAAAAAAAAACACGTCCGTTCGCGGTGAATTTTCGCGGTGAATGTTCGCGGTAACTCCTACCTCAGTTACAGTTATTGACAATATATTGACAAATTTAATTTAAGATCCATCCTTAAAAGTAGGAATAATTAAAGCGGATATATGTGACCACTTTTCACTATCACAGCAAGCAAAACGTGTCAAAAACCTGAAAATAAAAATCATCAAAAGAAGCATAAGTAAATTTTCGACTTAAAAACTAAACTAAAATTAAAACTTAAAAAACTAAAAAACTTTTGTTTTTGACCAATTTACTACACTAACGGTAGTAAATTGGTCAAAAACAAAAACTCTACATCAAATATCTAAAAAATAGAAACGACGTTAATTTGTCTAAGTATAAACAATATAAAAATCTATTTGAAAAAATAAAATTAAAATCTAAAAAACTATATTATTCAAAGCAAATTCAAAAATTTAAAGAAGATAATAAAAAAATCTGGAATATTATCAAAGAATTAATTGGTAAAAATAAAATAAACTCGAACCAACTACCTCTAAAAGTTTTCATGAGTGAAAAAGAGTTTAATATTAAAAAAATTATCTCTGAAAAATTTAATAAATACTTTGCAAGTTTAGGATCTAAACTCGCCTCTAAAATTCAACCTACAAACATTTCATTTGAGAATTACATCGAGGACTCTCGTTGCTCCCTAGTTTTTAAAGAAATAGAATACGAAGAACTTGAATCAGTAATTAAAACATTAAAAATTAACAAAGGCTCAGGTATTGATAATATCCGTGCCAATATAATTTTGAATGTCTTCTCAGAAATAATTAAACCCATTTTCAAATATTTAACTTTTCAATAATTACAGGAACTGTACCCGACTATTTAAAAATAGCTAAAATTATTTCTATCAATAAATCCGGAGAAACATCCTCCTTAAATAATTAAAGACCAATATCAATCGATCCCGTATTTTCAAAACTACTCGAACGAATAATCTACAGTCGTTTATATAAATACCTAAGCACAAACAAAATCCTGAATGAAAACCAATATGGTTTTCAAACTCAGCACTCGACAGAGCATGCTATCGTAGAACCTCATCAATAGGATTAGTGAATCAATCTGTGAAAAGAAATTCGTATTAGGAGCCTTTGCAGACTTGTCAAAAGCGTTCGACACAATATATCATGAAATCCTACTAAAAAAGTTGGAAAAATACGGATTAAAAAACCATACACTGAGATGGTTTAAAAGTTACCTGTATAACAGACAACAGTATGTTTTACAGATGATAATTACCACACTAAATTATTAAAATTAACTTGCGGTGTTCCCCAAGGTTCGATTCTTGCTCCTCTTTTGTTCCTAATCTATATAAACAACCTTCCAAAAGTTTCTAGCAAACTTGAATTTATAATGTTTGCAGACGATACAAATTTATTTTACTCTTCAACAAACATCAAGGATCTGTACGATAATGTAAACTTAGAACTCCAAAAATTAAATATATGGTTTAAAACAAATAAGTTATCCCTAAACATAGAAAAAACAAAATACACTTTATTTCGTTCAAACCAGCAAAGAAACACACTACCATATATTCTATCCTCTCTAACAATAGAAGATATAGCAATTGAGAGAACTCACGAAATTAAATTTTTAAGAGTTATAATTGATGAAAAATTATCTTGGAAAGCTCACATAAATGGTTTAAGCACTAAAACTGTAAATGTTATATGTAAAAATATGGCAAAATATAAGAATAAAAAAAAAATAATAATAAGTTACTTGCTGTTACCGTATATTAAAATTTTATCCGCTTAAAAGAAAAAAAATTTGGGGCCGTCAACAAATTGTGACCTCTACCCCTTTGTCACAACATAGTAACTCTAGTAACAAACCCCGTACTAGTTGTCACAAAACCACCAATCCCTCCGTAAACAATATTTAGAGTTACTTTATTGTTATTTTTTTTATGTTGTGCTTATTGAACGACTAATAAAAAATTTCTAGACTAGAATTGAATTAATGTCTAGATAAGAATTGGTAGTATTTTTGCCGGATTTACAAAAAGGTATTTTATATTTTTATATTTAGAATATAGCTATTAGTTTTTAAATCTGGCACAAAACAAAATAAAATCCTGGAGAGATATTCAAGTTCCTTGCCGAAAAGAACGTAACAAACCTATGGCTTAAGGGGGAAGCAAAAGACAAGGTTCAACCAATAGTAGAAATTGAAAGGTTCAACCAACATTAGAGATTGAAAGGTTCAACAAACATTAGAGATTGAAAGGTTCAACCAACATTAGAGTGTCTAAAACTTTGATAATTACACATAGTATTTAGATATTCAAAAAACGGTTACTTTACGTAGATTATGATTTTTGTTGTGATTGCTACTTGGTAGTTGGAACAGTTGTTACAAATTTATCCATTCAACTTTTAAGAGAGTAATCCAATTTGATTACAGCTTACTAAGGTTACAAACTACATTTCAAAATTTTCCTCTTTCAACGCTAAGGCGTCATTTTGACATGCCGCTGGAATAATTATACAACAAAGACTACTACTTTAAAAGGTTTTTGTACTTGGTTGAATATATACAACTAAACGACAAAACAAAAACTTCCAGCGCAACCAATGTATTACGCGTTCAGTATTTTGAAAGCTTTTCACTATGGAAGCGGACTTTATTTTGTATAAGTTGCACTATATTAAAACCAATGATTTAAACAGTTTCGATTAGCCGTGATTAATCTGTATTTGTTTTGCAGGCGTGACCCAATGGGATGGGGGTCACGCGTGTAAAATACGGATGATTGGAAACTGATCCAATAAGGCCAGTTTCCGCTTATCCGTTTTTCACGTGAGCATGCGTAATTTTTAGTGTAGTTTTGCTTTAGACAACATATATACTACTCATGCTCACGTGATTAGTTTTCCCTTACCTTTCTTGCTCTTAACCTAGAATTCACCGTAAACGTAAACGATTTTAATACTTATAAGGCAATATATAATAAAATTTTAAAACATAGAATTATAAAACAGTATCATATGACTGATGCTATCGAGTAAACGTTCTTTGATGTCTATTTCCACGATTGTTGCGATAACCCGTAAAAAACCTAAACAGAAAAAATCTCAACTATTTTTTTTCTTAATAATTAAAAAAAAAATTAAAAATCGGGAAGATATGATAAAAAAATAAAAAACACCAAAACAAACTTGTATACCGTTCATCATCTTTAGTCTTCGGAGCAGCCCAGTAACTTCCACTTCCGCTACCAGCACCAACCCTATTGTTGCTATCACCCCCTCCTCCACCTCGCGCTGAAGAGCGGTAAGTTCCATCGCGGGTTCCTAATTATATAAAAACACGAAAGTAAGCATAAGATTTTGCTCTGACTTTCTCTCTAAATATAATTTAAAAAAATCTAAATTTTACCACGGTAGTTTGTGTTGTACCAATCCGAACTAAAAGAAAGACGTAATACAAAATTTTAACATCGTCCCGTGTAAACATCATCATAATCATGGTGATAACCATGATCATCATGTTTTAAAAAAAATGTGTTTTTATACTTGTTTTGAAATAATAATACAATAAACATACTTTGATCGATTGTGAAATCTACTGCTATTTGAGTTTTGTCTGCTGTTGTATTCGTTATGTCGAGAACCTACAATAAATCAAATTTAATAAAAATCATTTTACTTAAAACGCAGATTCATTAAAAATGATATTAACTTACTGCCATCATTTGCTCTACGAAAATTATCTCCGGTTGAACGAGTATCACTCCAACGACTTTGAGTGCCACCAGTGTTTGCATTGTTATTTGAAAAACGCTCATTTGATGCTGGCGAACTTGTCTGCTATTTAGTAATAAAGAAGAGTCACAAGTTGCTTTTGACGTAATATTCTTAAAACAAACAAAAGCTTGCAAATCTATAAACTCTGCACACGAATAATAAAAACTTAAGTACCTCTGGTTGATTCATGACAGTTTGACCAGCTTTCTCCATGTTCATAAAATCATCAACATGCATCGAGGGTGGACGACTTGTGTTTTGCCGACGCAAACGAAAGCTGTCAATATCACTAACGCCACGACCTATAAATTAAATAACATAAGCTTAGTATGATATAAATATAGCTGGTAAATGTAAATAATGTAAGCTAAATCTAATAAACCTCTTCCTCTACCACGCCCAAAGCCACGTGTTCCTCTTTGAAAACCTCCTCTATTATTGTATCCTGCACGTCCAAATGACCCGCGCCCGCCTCGTCCTCTAAGTCTATCATTGCCACGATTAGCCGTATTCGGACTTGACAAAGCTGAAACTATTTTTATCAAAAATAATTATTACCATAAATAAAACTAATATAAATATAAAAAAAAATGTTAGTTTGGTTATTAACTTAACTTATAAGTAATATAAATTAAATTATTAGGCATTATAAATCACAATAATGAGATTAAACTTCTTTGAAGTCTTTACCATCAAGACGCAATCTTTTAGCATCGTCGATAGGCTGACCAGCACGAAAGAATCCATCTCGCTTTGACCTGCCAAAATTAAACGAACAATCTTCATCATTAAAAAAAATACAACCACTTATAAAACAATCTTGTAAATTTGAAGTAAATATTCAGTATACCTTTTTGACCGTTTAGCTTCAGTCGTATCAACAAACCCTTTTTCTACCTCTTCTTTAAAGTTAAAAGTCGGTAAAAATTTTGTAGCAATACTCAGCATGTCAATTTTTACCTTTAATAGCACAAATGTAATTCAATTTTAAATCACAGTAGCTTCTGATAAAACATTAATAAATTCAAAAGATTTTATACTTAATAATAAGCTAAAAATAAATGTAGTGAGCCTCACATTAGTTAATATTATAAAATAAATGTGGTGAGCATCACATTAGTTAATATTTTAAAATATATACGGTTGAATATCCCAATAGTTAAACAAAATATAATACCAAATCATTTTCTGTATCTGAGTCTACATCATCTGGCGCAGGTTCATCAAACCAGTCATTAGCAGTAGCCCTTTAAATAAACGAAAAACTAAATATTACAATTAACTAAAAAAAGTAGATGGGTTAGCGAACTAAAAGAAGTAGTATGGATAGCGAAGAAACAAACATCTACTAGTCTATCTACCTACCTCAATTTGACAGTTTGAAAAACTGTCAAATTGAGGTAGGTAGATAGACTTTTTTGAAAAAAATTTTGAAAAAAATTATCCCTGTAGCAAGATACCTAGTATGGATTTAGATTATTTTTAATATGATTTTAGGATGCTATTTCAAAATTAGAAGACAAATTGAAAATTTGTTTGCTATCAGAATAATAGTGCTGAAAATATATTTTTAAAGCCTTGTTTTGTAAGTAGGATAATTTTGAAAAATAATGGGAGATTTGTCCCCAAACCTGACATGCATACCTTAGATCTGATTTAAAAATAGTATGATATAGTATTGATAAGTTCAAAAATTTGCGGAAAAAGCATTATTTTTTGAAATAGTTAAAATATTTTAACAATATTTGATCAAAATTTTTGCAAAAGCAAAATCACATTAGTCTTTTGTAGGATATCCTTTACAATCAAGAATAGCTTGGCATCTATGAGGCATAGAGTCAACTAAATTAATACAAACGTCAATGGGAATTAAGTCCCATAATTCTTTGATTTTATTAAATAAATCAGCATAATTTGTAGGCTTAATTCCTTTCATTTGACGGTCAACATGTTCCCATAGATGTTCAATGGGATTTAAGTCAGGAGATTGGGATGGCCACTTCAAAACATTAACTTTACTCTCTTTAAAAAACTCTAAAACCGATTTAGCTGTATGTTTGGGATTGTTATCCTGTTGGTAAATCCATCCTCGAGGCATTTTATCCTTTGCATATGGTAACATAATAGTCTTACATATATCTTTGTACTTTTCTTGATTCATATTCTCGGTAATTCTATGGGTAGGACCAACTTTATTTCGACTAAAACATCCCCAAACCATTACATTACCTCCTCCATGTTTTACAGTAGGCAGTTGGTATTTAGGATTGTACCTAGTACCTACTGGATGTCGAACGTACCTGATTCCATCCAATCCAAACAGCATAAATTTGCTTTCGTCACTAAAAAGAATTTTTGACCATTTTTGACTACTCCACTTTAGATGTTTTGATGCAAATTCCATTCGGGCGTTACGGTTTTTCAAGGAAACTAATGGTTTTTTAGCTGGGCGTCTTCCAAACAAATTAGCGTGACGTAAACAACGTTTTATAGTAGAAATACTACAATTCATTCCATAGAAACGTCTCATTTGTACGTTTAAATCGACAGCTGTCAAACGGGGTTTTTCTTTGCTTAGTATTACAAGCTTTTTATCCTGATAACGCATTGTTTTGTGTGGCCTTCCTGATTGATTTTTATTCTTTGTAGATCTAGTAAGCTCAAATCTCTTCATAATTTGTCCAACAGCAGACTTACCAACTCCATAAAGCTGTGCTGTTTTACAAAACGAGTTTCCATTCTGAACTGATCTCAAGATCAATTTTTTTACTGGAGATGAAATACATTTCTTAGATGATCTCAATCACTTATATATTTAAATTTTTGAAATTATTTCCACAAAGTATTTGTTTATAAAATCAACAAATTAGCTATTTTGTGGTGAAAATGTAAAAGCGTTAGTTTGTCCGCAAACTTTTGAACTTATCAAAAATCGCCATTTTGTTAACCAATTTTAAAATGATAATTTAAATACTCATTATTTGCTCAAAACATAATTGTTAACTTGGAAACCTTTTAATTGGTATATAATATGTTGGCTTTAGTGAAATATGTGCTGAAATTTAAGTAAAATTCCTTATTTTTTTGTCTGTCCGCAAACTTTTGGACGCTACTGTATATATATATATATATATATATATATATATATATATATATATATATATATATATAAAAGAGTTTTAAGATTAACATAGTGATAAATTTTAGCTAACATGCATTTGATCGACATTCTTTAAGATGATGTAAACAAAATAAATTTAAATCAATTTTGATTCCAATATATTTTATAGAAATAACTGAATTGATTTTTTGACCATCTGAAATTTAGTTGTTTATTGATTTTGAATGTCTTGATTTAAATATGATAACTTCAGTTTTACTAGTTTATTCAGTTTGTTAGACTAAAGCCATTGAACTAGATTGGATTGATCATGATTAATGCATTTGTTAACTTTTATTTTAACCATTTGCTGATTATAAACAAATTGGTGTTATTAGCAAGTTGAACATTTTAGTGGTAAATTAAAATCATTAATGAAAACAATGGCTCTTATACAGAGCCACGAGAATTGCAATTTACTAAAAAAGATATGTTAACATTAATAGAGTAAAATTGAAATCATAATCATAAAGATCATAAATTATAAAGATCATAAAATCATAAATCATATCATAAAGATGAAGACCATTGATGAGAAATTCCTATAAATGTAGTGTTCCAGCAAAATAAATTTCTGAAAAACATATTTGCATTATTATGAAATGATTGCTATCAAAATTGACTTAATAAATTTTTTACTTAAAATGCTATTCATTTATAAACAGTTTCTTTATATTTAATATTGGTAGTTGAAATAAATAATTTCCTAACTTATAAAGTTCAAAATTTTATAAATGTTTTTGTAAATAATGATGTAAAAAACAAAAACAAAAAAAAACTAACCTGTCATCATCAATACTATTCATTAAAAGAGATTTCATTCTATTACTAAACTGCATTTGCAAAGAATCAGGAGTACAAAGTTGGTATGACTTATCTGTAAAAGTTGTTATTTAAGTGCAAATAGATAGTTCATAATAAAAGTATATTAGCTATTTATTCAAATATTGCTTATTGTTGCTATGTGAAAATTGAATAAAACATTTAAGAACTAATATAAGAAATTGAATAAGAAAATTGAATAAATATTATAAATATTGTTATAAAATTAAAAACATACATTCATCTTTTTGATCTTGTTCTCCAGCAGCAATTAATATCATGCGAAAAGTTGTGATAGTTTCACTAAGCAATATAAGATCTTCATCATCTTTGCTCTCCTCCTGGTCAACCAAAAAAAAAAAAAAAAAAGAGTAGACACAGTTTGATAAAATTAAATTATGAAATTTCTAAAATAAGATAGGATACCTCTATAATTTTTTCAAGCTTTGTCATTGGATGCTCACTTGTATTTTTATCGTCAAGTCTGAAAATCTTCTTTAGCAAGCTAGCGCTTACTATTATGCTTCTCTTCAGAATCGAATCTTTTTTATATTCAGCATTTTCAGGATTTTCGACAGTTTCTACTTTTTCTGTTTTTATTTCTTCTCCATCAGGTTTTAAATAATCTTCTGGACCATTTGTGTTTATGAGATTTAGGAAATCAAAGAAAGAAGAAACTGCATTATAAATTACAAGTCCTTCAGATTTATTCTTAGCCTCTGATATAAGACGACTTAAAAATGTATTCAAGCAATCACCTATAAGTTGCAAAAAATTGTAAAAAGAAATTATGCTGGCATACTTAATACTTAAGCAAATAAAATAAATTAACCTTTTTTAATTAAGTAGTTGATTATAATGTTCATTCCATAGTCATGATCAGTTAAGGAATCTAGAATATTTAACGAACGCATTACAATAGGAATCGGATATTTGTCATCATTCAAAGTTGCAAAGAGTAGTTCAACTATTGCTTTAGTGTTTGCTTCATCAGGCATGTTATTAGAGAGATGGCCCATTGTGATAATTCCATCAAAGTCATCAAGACAAATTTCATGGTCACATATTGACTGAAACAAAGGTAGCAAGCTATTGCCAAGATAATTGAAGTCGCATTCCTTGTCTGCCACATTAATAAGTTTTGTTATAAAGTCTGGAAACTCAGTCACACTATCTTGTGTTGTTGAGAGAAGATTTAAAAACGCAGCTTTGCCACCAGGTTGAGTTACAAGATAAGAGAGGATGGAAAAAGCATTATATATTAAATTTATGGAAAACTTCTTTTTTAAGCTATTTTCATCAATAGAGGGCTCTTCAATTTCTTTTTTACTTTTATTTATACCTTCATCAACCATTTCACATAGAGTTCTAAAAACAAATAACAATAAAAGAATTTTTTTATGCCTTCTGTTTGCAGACACCAATTCAAGAATTGATCAAATTTTACACACACACACACACACACACACACACACACACACACACACACACACACACATACACAGATATATATACACACACACACACACACACGCAAAAAACACAAATTAGGTGATTGCAAATTGTGAAATCTGGAAATATTTCTGATCATCAAATTCTCAGTTTATAAGAAACCGACTGTTTCAAAGAAACAGTCAATTTATTATATTGCAAAAATTAATAAAAAAACAATAAATTTTCTACTGCAAAAAGAATAAGCCAAAACTTCCATATTTCAAGATATTGTTTATCTAAACACCAGTTAATCTAAGTATTTTTAAAAAAAAAGTTTTAAGAAATAAACTAAATAAAAAAAAAAGTCACTAAAGGTCCAAAAAATATCTGCTGTAAATTAAAAATCAACCAACAAAAAATTATACTAAAGCTATTTTCGCATTTTATGAAACATAATAATTTTATAAAATATAATAACTTTATGAAAAATAATAATTTTAAGAAACATAAATTATTTTTCATGTGCTTTTAAACTCATGTCTTTAAATTTAACATTTAAATTATAATAATTGCAGTAATTAATCATGTTAAAAGTAACCTAATAACAATTCCAGACACAGATGATCCCAAATCAATGAGTTGACACAGTGATCGACGTAAATAATATTGCAGAACAGAACAACAAGAACCCACAAGTGTTTTAATAACAGTTTTGAGCTCAGACCCAAGACAACTAAAATTAACCATGGCAAGATAGCGACAGCTCATTACCTAAAAAAAATTGTATTCTTGTATACATAAATGAAAAAAAATTGGTCATTACAAAAAAAAATAAAAAAATCATTAACAAAAAATATTTTACTTTTGCTAGTTCTTCTTGTTGTATATCCCATAGTGTATGAATAGGCAGCGGTGTAGGAAGAAGTTCAGAAAGAAGAACTAATCCAGTTACAAAGTTTTCAGGCCTTATGACAAGAAAAGTTAAAAGTTCTTTTAACAAAATATACCATGTGCTTTTCTTTACATCTAAAAAAATGAATAAAATATATATATTTTTAATTATATTTAAGCCTTAAGTTTAAATATAATTTTTAAAAAGTATATAAATTAAATTTTAACAAAATAATGAATAATAAATATATTAAGGAATATTATATTAAAACTTTATTCAACATTGAATATTGTTTAAAAATAAATTAGGTTATAATTGTTTAAAACTCAAATAAATATTTTAAGTATATATGATAAATATTAGGTTAAATAATAAGTGTTTTTTTATTTTATTTTATAAAAATGTTATTGCAGAAAATGTGTCAATAACACAAATATAAATACCAGTATAAACGACACCTGGAAAATAAAACATTTTGTCAAAGAATATTGAAAATGAAAAAACAAAAAAACAATGGAGTAAAAAAACTACACACAAACAAACAACAACAAAAGATATGCAAACCATCTTCAGATTCAGGAGTTTTTTCAGTTCCTTGTAAAAACAGAATCAATATATTGATTATTTCTTCTTGCATCTTCACCAGCATTGTTGAAAACAAACCTACAGGTGTTTTTGAGCAAAGTATCTTGTGCAGAACAAACAGCTCTTGGATTAGTCGAATATCTTGAAAGCAAAATGAAGTCATCAGCAAATGTTTTAACAAAACTTTAGTTATTCCAAGTAAATAATTGGCAATATTTACTAGTATGAAACAGTTTTCATTCGAAAATGATTGATTTTGTTTCCAAGGAAGGAGCAACTGTTCATTGACTTTGTGAAATGTAAGAATGAATATTTCCATTGCATTCGATGAAAACATTTCAATTACATTTAATCTTCCCTGCAGGTCAATTTGCTCATCTAAAATACACATAAAAATTGCATCATGTATCTTACTAGAGTGGCTTTTAATATAAAAACACCTGTTGGCATTATGAAACAACCTTCTCTGACTTTAGACATGGCCAACAACTCGGTATCAAAGTTGAGGGGAGGGGGGGGGAGAGCACAACTTAATTTTAGATTAACTTTTGATTGAAATGATTTTTATAAAATTAATTTTTTCTACAATTTATATTTGAAAATAATAATTTATGAATAAAAGTTGTTATAATTATAAAAATCTTGTTCTAAAATTCCCTTTTAATATCATCAATAAAATGTTTATTCATGTACATTTTGTAAAATAAAAATAACTTGATGTTTTCTGCGCACTGCCACCTACTTTTTACTATCGATTCACATAGCAACATACATCTACATTTGACATAAAATATTTTTACTATAAACACTATGAAAAATATATCATATTTCTAGAAATTATATATTTTTAAATTTTCCTCAAACTCCTAATTTCTAAATTTCTCTGATTTACTAATAAATCTGAATAAAAAATTTATAGTTCAAAAATATACACACCACCCTAGTCAAAAAGTCCTATAGAATCCTATAAGAATTTGAAACAAAAAAAACTTCAGATTTAAATCCCATTAAATTAAAACACATTTAGTTAAAAAGTATTTATAGTTATCAACATTTTGTCTTTTTTTTTGTTCCAAAATCCTGTAGGACTTTATGGCTAGGGCATGACACCTCTTAAATGTTATAATAAAATAGCACAGAAAATTAATATTTTCTTAAAAGATTATTTTGAAAGATAAACATTTTTTTAAAAGATAATTATAAAAACAGTTTTAGGGGAAGACCAAGTCTCCCCCTAAGTGACATAACGTTCCAAAGAAAAAATTATAATGAAAGCAATTTAAACCTTTTTCATTTTCTTTGTTGTTAATAAGATCATAAAGGATACGCATAGCAAGCAGCAGACTTCTTGTAGTTCCTGTTCCTAGCTTCATTTCATCCATTTCTGATTTTACAAACTCTACTAAAGGTGAAATAGCATGGATATCAAAGCTTTCAACTTTTTCTAAGGAAGCAAGATAATGATGGATATCTTCGTGTGTGTTATCATTTTCTGTAGAAAAAAGAAAAAAAAGTATTTAAACAAAATTTTTAAAATTATTCAACAAGAGACAATTGTATGATTTAAATAAAAAATTACCTTTTTTTGGAATAGATAACAGCTTTTTTTTAAACACTCTTAACCAATCAACTTCATGGGAAAATTGCAAGGTAATGTTCAATAAAATAGCAGAATATCGACTGGCCACAGATTTCTTTATTTTAGTTTCAAAATTTTCACCACCAGTAAGAAAGGGTAAAAGACAGTTGATGTTTGAGTTAAAAGAAAGTACAGAAGACACTGATTCTCTTCCTATATATATACATACAAAAATGAAAATAAATAGCAAATTATTAAACTCTGAAGTATAAATTCTAATAAATAGTATATCTACTAATAACTATTCAGTTTCACACAGTAGAAAAGTATTAAGAAGAGTTTAAACCTATCAAAAGTAAAAAAATACTAAGGAGAATTATCTTTCAATACTATGGAGAATTATCTTTCAATAGTATAAAAGTCATAAGGATAATTAAAGTTTATCAATAGTAGAAAAATATTAACGGGATTAAAAATATATTCTACAATCTACATTATAATACAAACTATAATACAAGAATTAAGTGATAGCGAATTGTAAAATCTGGAAATATTTCTAGCCTTCAATTCTCATTAAATTCATTAAAAACTGTCAACACTATTTTAATGAAAAGATTAATTAATCATATTACAAAAATTAATAAAAAAATAAAATAAATTTATAAATAAATAAAACTGTTATTAAAAATAATAACAGTTAAAACTTACATATTATAATTTATTGTTTGTTTAAACACAAGTTAATTCAAGTATCATAAATTAATAAAAAGTTAATAAGAAAAAAAAAAAATTTACTAAAAGACTGAAAAATATGTGGTAATTTTAAAAAGCCACCAATAAAAAGTTTTTAATAAAAAGTTATACTATATCTTATTGTGCATTGTGCCAAACATAAAATCTGATTTTTGTTAGGGAGAAACTATAAAGAATTATTTAAAACTTTAAATGACATTAATTAATTGATAATATGAATTATGATAAAAAGATATTTTAAAATATGTAGTTAGAGTTTTTTGTTTTTAAAATAACTATTAGTTAGTAAACTTATAAAAACATATTTAAAGAAACATAAAAACTATAAATTAGTTTTTATATGTTTTAATTTTATATAAATATCTGTGTTTAAGAAGCACGAGCATTTAATTGAGATTTTTAAAAAATTATTGAAAAAAAGATTTAAATAAGAAATAAAAATAGTCACAATTTCTTTTTGGTAAATTATTTGATCAAAGATAAATTTCTTTGTATCATTTTTTTGATGATTTATTTAAATCTATTTAAAATTTAAAATTTATTTAAATTTATTTTTGATGATTCATTTAAATTAAAATGAATTAAAATATTTAAAATCATAATTTTTAATAATAATAGTAATAATATGATTTTATATCATAATTCTAACATCAATATAAATAATTTTTATATCATTCACCATTTTGACTTTAACTTTGCCCGAAACTTTATGGGATTTTTAAATCTCAACTTGGTTTGTTGCTGTTGTTATTTTTTTCTGGTGTATTCATTTGCAGCTTAGCTTATATTGTTTCCTAGCTTGCTGTGTTGCTTTTTCACATTCCAATTTGCTGCTTTGTTTGAGTCTCTAAAGTATTTCAGGTATATTTAAACTTCCCCTTCAAATCTAAATTGTGTCATTGTGACTCCAACAGATAATGAAAAGCTTTTACCAATCACTTCCTGGTGTAAGGTTGGAAAAAAAAAGATTCTCCTTGATGTTGGCACAACATCATTCTAAGTTCTATCAAAGCCTCAATCAGATAATTTGATGAGTGTATCTACCAATTAATTTGATGAGTGTATCTACCAAATAATTTGATGAGTGTATCTACCAAATAACTTGATGTGTATCTACCAAATAACTTGATGAGTGTATCTACCAAATAATTTGATGAGTGTATCTACCAGAGTTGATTCAAGTTGATCACTTATGCTGTGGACACGTCTATAAAAAATTGCTATTGGTATGCTGAATGATGGAGAAGTTTAGTTGAGTAAAGTTATATTGATTTGTACTTAGGCTATTGCAAGTGTGACTTTTATGGTTATTATTTTTTCTTCGTTTGCAAGCTTTTTTGAGGCATATTTTATATTATATTAAATATGATAATAACCAATTTAAAATTTGTACAAAGAATTTAGAGATACTCATTGGTCAGTTACACAAAACTATTTAATAAAAGTCCCATTTACCAAATTAATAATTAGTTTATTTCATTCAACTCCATCGCTCAGTGTTTCTGTCTTTAACTTACAACCTTATATCCAGAGATATCAAATTTAGTTTTGAAAAAACATATTTGACCATAATGATTAAAAAGTTTACTTCTGAAAGTTTTATGTCCATTTATCAAAAAAAGAAAAAACAAAAATTATTATCCAGCTGAAAACTTAACAATTCTTCAAAAAGAATATTAAAATTTTATATCATCTCATTCGAAAAGGATTCTCTACAAAATGATCAAAAAATATTTCAAAAGGTTTATTTAATTAAAAGCAAAAGAATAGGCATTTTCATAACTCCATTTCATTATATCTTCTATTTCATTATACCCTCTAGTTCATTCTGTTTTAATATACTTATTGATATTAAATTCACTTTCAGATTTAAAATAATAGTTGAAATAAAATTTAAAATACAAGTTCAGAGACCTACCTACAGATGTAAACGTCATTGAATACAATGTATGAAGAGCAGAGATATGTTCAGCACTGTCCATATTTTGCACATCTAAATCTTTAAAATATGTTATCATTTTAGTTTTTATTATTTTATTATATATATATATTTATAATAAAACAATAACATATTTTCCCTTAGATTCCTCATAGTTTTGCTTAAAGCTGAGCTGTTTTTAATTTTGTTTTAACTTTCCTTAATTAGTAATAAGTGAAAAAGCTTAAAATATATATATATATTACAAAAATATATATCTTGTATGTATGAAAAACATTTTGGATATCCGGAAAAACTAAAAATTGAGAAAAATATCCAGAAAAAGATAATCCCTGATATATATAAATATATATATATAAATATATATATATATATATATATATATATATATATATAAATATACATATATATATATATATATATATATAAATATATATATATATATATATAAATATATATATATATATATATATATATATAAATATATATATATATATATATATAAATATATATATATATATATATATAAATATATATATAAATATATTTATATAAATATATATATATATATATAAATATATATATATATATATATATATATATATACATATATATATAAATATATATATATATATAAATATATTTATATAAATATATATATATAAATATATATATATATATAAAAATATATATATGTAAAAATATATAAATATATATATATAAATATATATATATAAATATATATATATAAATATATATATAAATATATATATATATATATAAATATATATATAAATATATATATAAATATAAATATATATATATATATATATATATATATATATATATATATATATATATATATATATATATATATATATATATATATATATATATATATATATATATATATATATATATATATATATATATATATATATATATATATATATATTAAGCCACTGCCTAGAAGGTGTTTTTTTTGAAAACTGAAAAGAGTCACCCTGGAATTTGTTCATTGCAATATAAATAACAAGAAAAATATAAATTTAACTTTGTTTAATTTATATTGGGAAATCGGTTCAAATATATATCTTAATTGAATTGAGGGCCGAATTAAGGCATTCTTAGGCCTGGGGCTGTTATTATAGGAGGGCCTAATGTGGCAATGAGGTAAAAATGCCCAGCGTTAGTGAGGCTATACCTGGGGATCTAGGGGCTAGAAAATTCCTTCCAGGAACCTATCCGCCCCCACCTTAATATGGCCCTGATTTAATTTTTAGCCATTTGTTACGTTTTTTACAGTCGATTTATATCTTTTGTAGCTTTGTTATTTTTAAGGAATATTAATTTATCAACACTAAACAACTTAGTCAGAATGTTTTTTATGGCATTTGTCATAGCAAGCTGTTTTTAATTAAATCGCACAGAAAATTGCAAAGTTAGATATTCATTTTATAAAATAATCACATTTTTTTACATTTCTCTTATTCTCTTTTCGACTTTGGTTCTTTGCCAAAATAAATTTGTGACTTTTTCTAGACCATAAACCTGCTTAGCAGCTTCAGAGGTTAGTTTTACTGCTCTTTCAACGAATTGTGAATTGTTAGGAAAATCAATTAGGCAAAGTTTTTGTCCAGATTCAAATGCCTCTCTAATTTTTTCTGAAGTAACGCTAAGTGTTGCTGGTGGCTCAATTTGAATCTCATAAACTGAAACAAGAAAGTCCCAAGAACCAGCATCAAAAATTATTTTCATTACCGATTTTGGTTTAAGCTGAGTTTTGAAAGTAATGTCTTCTTTTAATTTTCTTATTATAAGAATTTGGTTAAGAGCTCGATTTTTTATATGTATATTTTCATCCTGCAGCATGCAGTAAAGAAAATTTTCCTGCAAACAACAGTATGAATTTCCCTGGAGATTGGTAAAAACGATACTTTGAACGATATTTTTATATAGGAGTAGACAAGCATCTTTGTATTGTCCAGAGTTCTTGATAGCAAACCACATTACACAGTAAACTTGCACAATATACACAATATACTCAGGAGATGGCTCCTATATAACATATAACATAATTCTAAGTGCTACAGTTAGTTATCTGGCATGGAAAACTGGTCCTTGTTTTTTTGAAACAAACCTTTCAGAAATAAAACCTTTTGAAATACCAACGCAATACTCATAGAGTTTGCACTGGTCTGTACTAAGATCACTTATAATCTCTTTGTTAACAAATAACTCTACCTCTGACTTTATGGGTACAAATTGAAACAATGGCTGTTCATGAAGTGTTAGATTAGATGCAGCCTCCCTGATTGGCCCTTTGAAAGAATTAGGACTAACTGTCTTTCCATCTAATTCTGATATGATATGTCGCAGTGAAAGTTCATTCTGATGCAGCAAACATCCTAAAAGGTGTAAGTTTTTGTTTATGATTTTTCAAGTTTGACAACCAAACCACTATCGCAACCTGTATTAAACCACTGTTAAACTCTGAACACTGTTAAATTCCAACAAAACATTAGCATTTGCCATGGTTGCACTAATTCCATTAGGTATAACTATATGAGTCAAATAACTTTGTGATGTGGGTCCACTCTCTGCTGTAAATGTTAGATGGTATTCTTCTTTGATTGCAGTAACAACAACTGGATTTCCATTACTGTTATACCTGATAGAATGCGTCAATGAAAACTTATCCTTTATTCCATCAACTCCAATAACCTCTAATTTTTTAACGTCAGCTAAATGTTTAGAGCTTATAATACTGCTGATTCTTTTCTTATCCCAAAAAAATTTTTCTGTTATTATTTGTGCTTTATTACTTTCTTTAACAATTCCATAGTCAATTAATACAGCTGTTGCCAATGCAGCTGTTGCAACATCGTTTATTTCATACCTAATAACGGCTTTTGCCAAGTTTGTTAAACAAGTTTGATTTCTTTCAGCTGGTGCAGTTATCGAATAGTCAGGATCTGTTTCTGAGTCATTTTTATTATCTAAATCACAATCCATATAATGATCACATTGAATTTCTGGAGCAAGTGAGTTAGCAGATCTTATCTGCTAATTAATTAATTTTCAGCTGGATAATAATTTTTGTTTTTTCTTTTTTTGATAAATGGACATAATTAATTTAATTACGTTATATTTCTGACATGCTTTTGATTCTGATTACTTGTTTAAAAAACTATAGATTTAAATTAAATTAACTTTTATAATTTCAACTTATTTACCTTTTTGTTAACTTCACAGAGACAAGCAAAATGTGTTGTCTTGCAATCTGGTTGGTTCCTACACTTCACAGATCTATAAAAATGTTCAAAACATAATTTATTTATCTACAAAATAAACTTAAATGAAAACTAGAACTGCAAACCATGAAACTATTTAATAATATTGATTTTTGTTTTATAATAATAAATATTTTAAAATATATTAAAATAAAAATAGGCCTTTCTTACTTATCATTGCAAGCTATTACTGGAAGTCCAAAATTACATGATGACAAATCAAATAAACACTCAAAATCGCAATCAAGATACTCCTTGTTTTTATTTGAATTTTTGAATTTGCCTTCTGCAGACAATACTTTGATGAAAAGTCTAAAACATTTTTTGGTTACTGACTTCTCGTGTATCAGAAGCAGCTTAGGATTTACTCTAATCCACAGATCAATAAGGTCACTGGCAACTTTTGAAACAATCTTTGGAGAAGGTCACTGGCAACTTTTGAAACAATCTTTGGAGAAGGTCACTGGCAACTTTTGAAACAATCTTTGGAGAAGGTCACTGGCAACTTTTGAAACAATCTTTGGAGAAGGTCACTGGCAACTTTTGAAACAATCTTTGGAGAAGGTCACTGGCAACTTTTGAAACAATCTTTGGAGAAGGTCACTGGCAACTTTTGAAACAATCTTTGGAGAAGGTCACTGGCAACTTTTGAAACAATCTTTGGAGAAGGTCACTGGCAACTTTTGAAACAATCTTTGGAGAAGGTCACTAGCAACTTTTGAAACAATCTTTGGAGAAGGTCACTGGCAACTTTTGAAACAATCTTTGGAGAAGGTCACTGGCAACTTTTGAAACAATCTTTGGAGAAGGTCACTGGCAACTTTTGAAACAATCTTTGGAGAAGGTCACTGGCAACTTTTGAAACAATCTTTGGAGAAGGTCACTGGCAACTTTTGAAACAATCTTTGGAGAAGGTCACTGGCAACTTTTGAAACAATCTTTGGAGAAGGTCACTAGCAACTTTTGAAACAATCTTTGGAGAAGGTCACTGGCAACTTTTGAAACAATCTTTGGAGAAGGTCACTGGCAACTTTTGAAACAATCTTTGGAGAAGGTCACTAGCAACTTTTGAAACAATCTTTGGAGAAGGTCACTGGCAACTTTTGAAACAATCTTTGGAGAAGGTCACTGGCAACTTTTGAAACAATCTTTGGAGAATTAATATTTCTGACACTGTTTATGTTTTTAAAATAAAGTAGGAATATTGAACCACTTGCCTATAAGTTGGAAGATCACTAACTGGAAGATCAGATGGCAAACCAGCATATCTCTTGTTTTCATTACGAGTTCTTAAACTTTTTATTGTATTAGGCATTTTCTTTTTTCTTTTTTATATTTCTTATACCTTTATAAAGTTATATAATTTATGTACATTTCAAATTAATTAATTCAACAGGAAAATTTTTTTTTTTAAATAAATAATAACTTTTGCATCAATCAAAAGTGTAAACAAAAATAAACTGCAAATACATTTATTCTTTAAAGCTAACAAGTTATTGAAAAAGTACTAAATACATAAGTTATGTATAATAATAGTTTGTTCATATAAAACATTATTTCTAGTGTAAAACAAAAGGTATAAAAAAATAACAACCCAGTTAAAACAAAAATTACTGAAAAATATGACTTTGTTATTCTAATTATAACTTTTTACTAAGTTTTGATATAAATTATAATGCCCCTCGTCCTTAAGTTATGTGATCACAAATTTACTTAAATTGATATCCCAAAATGATTATGAACTTTTGCACGTTTATTTTTTTTTAAGTCTATATATTTATAGTATAAGAACAAATCCCAGAGTGACTCTTATTAAATCTTGCTGCTGGCAGTGGCTTAATATATATATATATATATATATATATATATATATATATATATATATATATATATATATATATATATATATATATATATATATATATATATATATATATATATAATATATATTATACATTCAAATCTTTAAAATCATTTAAATCTTCAATTGTTATCAAAGAAATTGTTAGCTATTATCAAATTTAAGAACTATAAACAAATTAAGAACTTATATTAAAAAACAAATTAAAAAATTTTAATTTTGTATTATGCAAAAAACTTAATGGATCATTGTTTCCATTTTGGCTGTTTAAAATAGTGTCTTGAATACTGTAAAATTTACTGATAAATGAAGCTGTCAAAAATAAGGCTAAAAATTTATTTTTTGAATCCTCAAAATTTAATAAAAAATATATTTTTTTTTATTTAATTATAAATTTTTTCTTAGAATTTTTTTCTGCATTTTGAAAACTTTTTAGTACTATTTATTATTAACATTAGTTTCGCCTTATTGTTTATATCAAAATAAATTTTTTTTTGCTTTTTTGTTTTTCTTATGGCATACCCTGTAGTTACCAGAAGAATATCTATAACCAACCAACACCTGAAATAGAACTCATTAAAAACTAATTGCAAGGCAGTTGAGCATTTAACTGCTTTCTACACTAACTTGGCAACCACATAAGCAGCTATTTAAAATTCCAATAAAAACAAAACTTATTGAACAAATAAATGAGACAGGCAAACCAAAATATTTCTGATATTTCATATTTTAAATGAGGCAACCAAATTAAATTCATAATTTATATTTAATTAACATCACCATAGGCAGCCCTTGTAATTAGAAAAAATGAGGTCAGTATTAATTTGCTAACCTTTTTCTGTTAGAGGTTGGCATCAGGTTGTCAAAAAAAATTTGATTTAAAGGTTTTACCATAAAACATAGAAACAATGTCAACGATTTTTTGACAACCTTCTAGGGTTGGCAGTTAGGTCAGCATTGCAGAATGCCAACCCTAATTCTGAGGGCTGCCATAGGTAATTATTACTGTCATAAACAATTGATACCTGTGACTGCGGTTAGTAAAATTTTATCAACACATTGAAGTGCTTGTAAATGATACACAAGCAGCAATCCAAGATGATGTGGCATACATCCTTCTGCTGTATTAATGTTCATTCGATATTGCTTTAGTGTAGGCATGTAACTTAAATCACCACCATCATCAGACAAAAGAGTTCGAATCAAAGCATTACAAATAACTGGTTGAGAAGCCAAAAGCAATAGACCTAATCAAAAGTAAGTAGTATTCAAAGTTCAAATAAGAAATTAAAAACATCAAATCTGGAATTAAGATTTCTATTTAAAATATTTTTGACTTTATGTGATTTAGAATTTTGTTATAAATTATATTATAGACATTTAAAAAGATTTTGTAAAAAAAATTAACATAACTGTTTAAATGTTTGTGTATATGGATGGGCTTTAATGGTTTCCCATAGTTTAAAATCTTAGATTTTCATGGCTTTATGTATTCTTGACTTAGTGTTATCTGTTGCATATTGTTAAAATGGTTTTAAAAGACAATACATAATGATGAACAACAGGGTGTCCACTCTGCTGGAAAATCTGGAAAAAAAGTATAAAGCTGTTTTTAAAAAACATGATGGAAAAACTGGAAAATGTATTTTTTGTGCACCATTGAATCAATGATGCATAAAAAATACATTTTCCAGTTTCTTTAGCATGTTTTTCAAGTTCTTTCAGTTTTTCCAGTAGAGTGGACACCCTGAACAACCATTTGCATTCTCTATTTAAATGTCCAAACCACCATAATCTTCACTGGTTGACTTTATTAGATATACTTACTACTCCCAATCTCTTGCTCACCATTCCAATCTGACTCATTTGTTCTTTTCTTCCTCACTCCAATCTCTGACTCATTTTTTTTTTCTTTCTCACTCCAATCTCTGACTTAACCTGTTACTTGCAGCCACATGTGACTTACCAGGCTTTTTTGTATGATCAAGGAGATATTTATTTGTTAAAATCACAAAAGAACTTCATTAACCACTATATCTCACTAAAACTATGCAGTGTAAATTCAATTTTAAACAAGCTGAAATTTTTGAAAAATGACTATGTTTTAAGAATTTTACAGCAAACTGAGCTGTTTGTAATACTACAAATATTGCAAACAACTCAATTTGCTATAAAATCCCTAACATGTGACCATTTTCCCAAAACTATTTAAAATTGACTTTACACTGCATAATATTTCACTTTTAAAATTGACAGCATAATTTTTATCTTATTTACGAGACACCTGACAAGTTTTATTTGAAAATAATGAAGAAAAAAATTAAATTATTATCAAGCTTTTATAAAAAACCTGTTAATTTTATTTACAGAAAGGTAATTTTAGGCAAATTTAGCAGAATAAGTTTTATAATCTTGACATAAAACAATGATAAGAAGGCATTTAGAAAATTCAAATTTTAAAATGGTTTCTACCCAATATATAAGCAAAAAATTTAATGTAAATGTATTTTTCAAAATATAAATATTTTGTTGTTTAAAATAAACATATTATTTGTGATGGGTCATGATAAGTTAATCACCAAACACATACCAAATAATGACACCTTTTAGTTATGACTCATTACTAAGGTTAAAGTCAGTGGCTTTGCGATAGGGTAGACAAAGTACAGAGGGCCACCGAGCCGATAATAGAACTGCAAGTCACCAAGTTTTTTATAGGGCTGCAGAAATTGTAGAAAAACCATTAAAAGGATAAATTTCGTCTTCGGGACACCAAGTATGTTGCAGCATTACTGTTTAAAGTTCTTTAAATAAAAGTTGGAAGAAAAACAAAAAGTTAATTAATTTTTTTTTTTAAATATTATTTCTTAGTTGCATTAAAGTTTTATTTTATAAATTATATAAAACTAATATCAAAATATTAATATAATTAATTTTATAAATTATATAAAACTAATATCAAAATATTAATATAATTAATTTTATAAATTATATAAAACTAATATCAAAAATTAATAAAACAACAAAATTTCTATTAGAAATTTATTAATAAAGAATTAGCAAAAAAAGGTTTCTTACTGCATATCGAATAGGGTGGTTCAAAAAACAATATTTTTGAAAAATATCTGCAGCTCTCACCTTAATGCGTTTTATATGATAAAATAACAATGGTTTTAAAAAATTTTTGGATAAAAAATATTGTTAGTGGTGCATCAAGACCTTTGAACATTTAATGGGTCCCTAATATCAATAATAATAATTTTTTTTTTCCAAAAGTATGTCTTATTAAGTCACAAAAGAAGAGAAATTATGTAAAAACTTCAGAAATAATTATTTTATAAAAAAACATTGATAAAAAAAAAATAACTAAAAAACTTTGTAAAAATCAATATTTTTTATTTTTAGTTGAAAAATGTCATTATCTAAAATCTAAAATAATATTTTTTTTTTATAAAATGATGATTATTTTTGAAATTTTTACATAATTTCACTTCAAACGTTTTTTATTAATATTGGGGAATTGTTATATGTTCAAGGTTCTTGGAAGCACCCCTAAAAATATTTTTTATTCAAAAAACTTTTAAATCCAGCATTTTATCATATAGAATACATTTAAGGTGCAAGTTGCAGATATTTTTCAAAAAATTTTTTGAACCACCCATATAACTAGGTTTGAACCACCCATATAACTAGGTTTGAACCACCCAAATAACTAGGTTTGAACCACCCATATAACTAGGTTTGAACCACTTAAATAACTAGGTTTGAACCACCCATATAACTAGGTTTGAACCACCCATATAACTAGGTTTGAACCACCCATATAACTAGGTTTGAACTAGAATTGACCAAGATATGGGCTAAACCTGAGAACATGTTGCAACAAACTTGTTCATTTTTTTTCATGTTAAACACCAATGTCATAATAAAATAATCCAATTGAAAAACTTTGTTAGGAGAAAACCACTTTACTTTTAGGTACAAATAGAATCAAACATCTCATACAAATGTATTTATAAAAAACTAAAGACCAAAATGAAAAAAGTCACCAGATTAGACACTCTTTTACCATATTTTTTTAAAAGACATTGCTTCTGTTATATAAAGCAAAATTATACATGAAAATTATCATAACGCCAGTGAAGCAAACAATTATTGTCTAATTTCTGCTTTAACTGCACTTTCAAAACTTCTTAAAAGTTCACACCCAACTTAGGGATTATCTTGAAAAAATGAGTTGTGAAAATAGATAAGAACAAAAACAGTTTTGCAATTATTTATTGCAACAACAATGTATTCAAATAAATAGAGAAGTATTTGGAAAAATACCAATAAAATGGTGTGTCTATCAAAGCTACTCTCAATACTATGACCAGTTCTACTGCTCTCGATATTCTGTTCTTGATATTTTAAAATAACTTTAACAAATGCCTTAAATTTTGAGATGCCATTACTTTTGCATATTATGTATGTTATATGCTGAATAAAATTAAAAAAGATTTAATAAGTTTATATGCAAATATGTTAATAATCTAAACAAGAAAAAAAAAGAGTATATTATTCAGAACATCAAAACATTTACCCAAAAACCATGAAGTCAAAATAGTGTGCAAAAAAATGTTTATTATGAAAACATGGGAATGGAATTTTTTAATTTATGGAGTTTTATAATGAAAACTAAACAAGATATACATATACAAAAAAATGAAATACAAACCTTTGTTAGAAGATATGAGGAGGAATATTAAATCTCTTATAGCTGCATAAACCTCTGTTTCACAAAAAAGTGGTGATGAAGCAAGCACCAAGATTGATTCGAGAAAGCGACGCCGTTGCAAAAGATGAACTATTACTTGATAACAATCCTGCATGTTTCTATCATGTAAGCGAGCTGTAGTAGGAAATGATTGGAGATTTGGCTGTCTCTAAATCAATGAGATAATTTTTCTCAAAGTTTCAAAAATATATGACTTTTTAAAGAAAAAACAAATATATATTTTTTCAAGTTTACATTTTGAATAAAAAAAATTTATTGACTTACTATAATTGAGTTTCCATTTTCAAGTACTTCATGAACAGTTGAAAGCACAGCCAATAAATCACTCATATCTTTATTGCTGATGTTAACATCTACTGTATACTTTTTCTCTTTGGTTTCAGAATCTATATCATTTTTCATATCAGTTTCATCTTTTGACAAAGGTCGGGGTTGACTTTTAGTAATTCTTAAAAATATAACAAAAGGCAAAAACACAATGGATTAACACAACTTAAAAATTAAAAAATTTTGTAACAGGAAAGACAACAAAAATAAAAACCTTGCAGTAACGGCTTGAAGCTTAGCTACAGCCTCATAAAAGTGAATCTTCTGAAGCAAAGGCTTAATAGCAGCTATAACTCTTGCATTTGTTTGATCAAGTAAATAAGTTATTAAACGTCCATAAACAGTCAGTTTTTCAGAACTCAAGGAAGACTAATAAATGTTGAAAAAAAAGGAAAAAAAAGAAATTTTGAACAAAACTTTTAGCTAAAACACTACATTTCAAAATTACTATAAAATTTTTCTTAATTATTTTAAAAAGCGCAAATAACTAAAAAGGTTAAAAATAGTAAGAAATAAAAAAGTATTCAAAAAAACAGTAACATCATTGTTATTATTATTTTTATACTAATGGTATAAATGAAAATATACTAACTATGTTATAGGCAATTATAGAGTTATAGTTATGAATAGTAAAGATAAACAAAAACTATTTAGCCTACCTCCTCACTCCAACCAAGTATCATCTCCATCCCAAACACAGTGTTGGTAGTAGCATCAAGTGCTTTTAAAATAATTAATTTCATTGATGAAGCCATATGACTTTGATACAATAAATCAACTAACTTATTCTGAACATCGCATTCCAACAGAAGTCTGAAAATTACCCCCAAAAATATTTTTAAACCAAAACTGATATATATATATATATATATATATATATATATATATATATATATATATATATATATATATATATATATATATATATATATATATATATATATATATATATATATATATATATACATATAATAGGTAGTGTATTTAACAAATAGAGTGCTCAATGTTCTTAAAGGCCCCTGCAAATAAAAAATTTAAACATCAAGTCTGAAATTCATCCATTTACATATTTGTGAATCGAATCTTGAATCTTATAAAAGTTTGTTTTTTTCCTATTTAAACTATTTTTAAAAATGTATCGAACTAACTGTGAAATAACAGAAATATTTTTTTCCAGTGGGAAAAATTTGACCAAAATGAGGGGTTTGTAACTTTTACAAGGTCATAACTTTTGTACACTAGAATATAATTAGATGAAATTAAAAAGCTGTAGATAAATTTAGTATAAGATAGTAAACTAAATATTTTATTAACTGATTGCCCTAACGCTTGGGCACAGGAGGTGAGCTTGTAGGGGTATTCTTGTTACCAGGTTAAAATTACTAAAATTTTTGCAAAACATTCTGATTTAACCTAAGCATGAGTTAAAAACTTTTTTTGTAGAAAACTAGAAATTTACACATTACAATACGTTGAACAAAAAACAAAAACATGCTACAGTGAACGTTTTTTATAACCACTGCAGACTATTTTTAAAGGGAAAAACCCAATCTGATTATGTAAAACTGAACTGTTTAAAAAACTCTGCGATGAGAGAAATGATCTATTATTGAAAGCAGATGTTTTTTTAATGGAAAAAACTTGCAGATTTGAGAGCCTAAAATTAGGCTTTCAACCGGAAGTATAATGGCAAAACAGCAAATGCTTTTGTTATCTCATTCAATAATTTGTTTTAGAAGGTCTAATTAACATTTAACTTATTTTCTAGTGTTTATCTTAGATATGAACACAACTTGTCTCGACGCTTGGGGATAACTTTACAAAAAAAAAAAAAAAAATTAATACCGAAATTTCAAAGTTGTAAATAGCAATGAATATGTTAATTTAAAAGTTTGATTCATTTTTTATTATTTAATTGTTTCATTTAACTGATTACTTAACTAATCCTACATATTTTTAAGCCTACATTAAAAAAAAAATGTATGTATGTATGCATGTATAACCTTTGATATTCTTCACAGCAATCAGCGAGAAGACATGTTAGTTTAATACCAGCTTTAAGAAACCGAATATTTACAGCAAGTGGCAACAAAAGTGCGTGGTCCATATTTAGTGCAAAAACTGCCCATTCAGTAATAATGGAAAGAAAATGCTTTTCCTTGATTTTCTGAGAGGTCTGAGAGTGTAGATAAGCCTTAAAATTCAAATGATAATTTTTGAAAATTTAGTAATAGTAATAATAAAAAAATGAACAAAAACTAAAAATACAGCAATTAATGTAACAAATATTTTTTATCAAATTATACCATTGCTGATGGAACAATATTAGGTAATTCCTCAAGCATAGTAACCCATTTTGCATCTCGTTCAGCTTCACTATCAGATACTACAAAATCTTGTAACTGCTTAACTTGAATTGGCTCAATTTGAAGATCTTTAAAAGACTTCACAAGACGCTCAAACTCGCTATCAATATATGGGTCAATAAACTAAATTAAAATGCATCAGGACTTAATCTTGCAATACCAATATTAAATATATATATTTTTTATACATGTTAACTTATGAATGCTACTAAAAACACAACTAAAATTTAAACAACATGTAGGCAACTATGGAGATATAATCAGCATATGCTATTAATAAAAACTAATCTTCTTTCCTAATTATAAAACAAAAGGAAAGAGCTATTAAAAACTAATTTGTAAAATAGTAAAATAAATATCAGCAAAAAATCAATCAGAAAAACTTTTGAAAAAGATTCATTTGGTAGAACTCTTTTAGAGAAAAAATTCGAAAAATTCTGAAATATGAAAAATGCACTCTTTAATTTATACTTGAGATTTTTTTAAAACTGTATTCACCTCAACAAAGCTGAGGAATTCAGTACCATTAAGGAGCTATCTTGCTCTTGCTAAAACTATTTTACAACCTTTCAACCTCATAAAACATAAACAAGGCTATTGCATGGAGAAACAAAACTGAGTGCAGCACTACCAGAGGCATGATGAGAGTCAAACTTGGTACTTCTAATTTGCTAAGTAAGTGCTCTACCAGTACATAATGCAAAAACTATAAAATATAAAAATGCAAAATTTTTAGTAGAATTGCTTTACTAGTAAATGGTTATTTTGAAAACAAACATTTTAAAAATGCCTGAGTACAATATTATTATATTGGAAATTTATAAATTAAAATTTAAAGAGACATTGATAATTACCATTTGTTTATTTTGGTAATTATATTGTCTAAAATTTTAAAAAAGAAACAATTTTGATTTCTAATTTAATTGTTTAAGAAACAAAAATACAGAAATATATTTGGCTAAAAATTAACATCAAGAAGTTTAATTGTCATTTTATAAATATGTATAATATTCTTATTTATTTCTATTTTGTTTCATTTTCAAAAGTATATCCTGCTGCCATTGTCATTGATCTAATAATGTTTGAAATAATAAAATATTGGACATTTGAGTTTGGAAATTGCCATGATGATTGATGTAACTAATATCAAACTTAAAAAGTTTATTTAAAAAAATAAATATTTAATTTAATTTAATTATAACTTAACAAGTTAAAAAAATAACACACTGTTTTAACATAATAAAACTGTAGTAGATATATTTACACATACATATATTATTGCAGTAGTGGTGTGATGGTAGAGCATTTGCTTCTAAACCAAAATTAATAGAGTTCAATCCCTACCATGCTCTTTCTAGTAACTCACTCAAAGTGTTTCTCTGTGTAGCAATCTTGTTTGCTAATTTGTAATGCAACAAGATAACAACCTTAAAATTTGACCAAACTATGCAAATACTGTCTGCTTAGTAAAGAAAAAGGTTGAAATATCATGGAATAGCCAGCTTAAAAATTCTAAATAGTATGTCACAAGTCATCACAAAAATGTTAAAATCTAAAGCTTAAATGAAAAACCATGTCACCATTCTTTGTTTATTTTATTAAAAACAATCCTATCTGTAATACTATGAAGATTTCTATTACATGTTTGTAAAATCAAAAGTTTTTAGACTAAATACTTATATATCTTGTGCAGATATGTGAGACACCTAAGCTGTGGTGAAGCTAACTTATTTAGAAAAAAATCTTTCACAAAAAAACCCTTAATTGAATTCTGGGTAAGGTCATTAGCACTTTGTGTTAACAGATTAGAATTATTTACCTTATCCGACTGTGTGTAGAGAATATTACAATATAACTTTGTTGAATTACTTTTTTATTTAAACAAAGAAATTAACATATGCCATAAAAACCCTGTCTTTTTTTCCAAAGCATCAATTAAAACTTAAACTGTCAGACGTCGGTATCAGGTCGGCAAAAATATTTTGACACAAAGGGGTAATCATAAAACATAGAAATGAGGTTGGCAAATTTTTGCCAACCTAATAGGTTGGCAAAAATTTGCCAACATAAAAGGACTTAACAGTTTTATGATATTTTTTACCTAAAAAGACCTAACGGTTTTACTGCTGAGTACATCAGAAGTATTAAAGTTCAAACCTCCTTCCTTATCGATGCACAGTGAGTCAGAAAGGTGAAAAAACTGCAAAAATTATATAACTATCATATATATATACATGTGATACATCAATGCAATCGTATTTTTGGTCAAAAAATTTATTTAAAAAAATTTAATTTGTACCTATGACGCATACAACGCGCACTTACTTTAACGCTTTTAGTTTATGAACAGTTGGGGGAGTCACATACCAGCAATAGTTTTTGAGTATAAGGGCTGTAGTTTCATAGCAAGTGGCCAAAACTTTCAGAGTTCAACTTATAACAGGAGCATACAGATACTAGGATTGTCCTCAATCTAATAACTACATCTACTGCCACTCCTGTTATATCAGCTAAAGTTCTTCTAGCAGTGTTCCCATCGTTAGTGTTGTCAAAACCTGTTTGGGCATATCAAGACTTAGCTTCTCTCTAAACCTCAGTTTAAGTACTTTTTTCTATTTTTTACTAATGCTTTTTCAGCAGGGTATTTGGCAAAGTACTTTTATAATGTCTAACTTATATCTTAAATGTAAAATATATTTAAAAAATCTGAGCCAGCAATGTAAAACGACACAAAAAGTTTTTCCATCAATTGGTTTAAATCTGATCAATGTTGTTAAGTTCACTGGGCTTAGCTCAGCAAACATTATATGATTGGGAGGACAGAGTGTCAGTGAGGGCATTAACCACTTTACCATCAAACGTGGTTAAATCTAGTTTGATCTTAAATATCCGCTTTGCCTTCCTCTACTTCTAATTTACCTCAAACTTGACTAGTCTATTCATTTTTCCTTTTAAAATTTCATATTCATTTCTTAACAATTATTCCGTTTTAAAACATGTAATATGCCGTCAACTCTTGCATATTTTGATTTTCGAGGTTTGATAGTTAGCACCATCTGCTTGAGTATTTTTACTAATAGGAACTAAAGGTATTGCTTTTGTGATGAATGTAACCAATGAACTATTGTTTGCTACTTTATTCGCAAGTTTTAATTAAAAATGGAAAAAAACATATAAAAAATACGAAGTAATTAAAAGGTCTTATTTCAATTGGGGCAAGTTGGGGCAAATGATTTTTATTTTTTCTGCTTTCATATATACCCATCAATGGAAAAATGTTAAAACTACCATGGAATCTAGTGGAATCTATTAGTTTTTGAACTAAACTCATAATTAAACTAATTTTAAAAAATCAATTTTATTGACACATTTTTGAGATTTCAGTAATGAAAATTACCAAACATCTTAAACATGACTTCAAATTATTTTTGAACTGTTTTACCCATATCCATCTTAAAAGAGTGACACTAAAGCAAGACTTTTGTAAACAAGTTTTCCGAGAAATAATAAAAAAAAATTAAGTCTTAGAAAAAGGCATATAAATTGGTGAAATCTTAAAAATTAATCACAAAAAAATTAATTTTTGTCTTTTAGTGGTATTTAGTTACTTAAACTTAATATTATGCCGCCATTTCAAAGAAATGTATACTATGTTAACAAGAAAAATTTAAAATACTCACTTGCATCAAGAAAATTAAAAAAAAAATCTGAATTAACTTCTAAATGCAGAAATGAAAATAAGTACTTTTTAAAAAACTATAAAAACAAATGACCTAACTAAAATTATCTTCATTCTAAAGAATTCCTTTCATAACTAATTTTATAATTTTGTTAAAATGTAGTTGATATAACTTCCTGGTTGCAAAATAACTACAGTTATTATATAATTAATAATAACAAGTCGAGAAAGCTACTTCTTACATTGGTTAAAACACTCTCTCAACTCTTTAACTCTGAAACATTTTTCAAAGTTAATTTTGAAATCGTTACCAAATTTAACTGAAAGCCAAATTTCTATTTCAACTTCGGCACTGAAGTCAAAGCCAAAATCAACTTCGTCTTTCAGTAAACTTCGCAATCCGAATTTTAACAAATATTCGCCGGCCCTTATTTATATATTTTATGTGTGTGTGTGTGTGTATATATATATATATATATATATATATATATATATATATATATATATATATATATATATATATATATATATATATATATATATATATATATATATATATATATATATATATTTGTACACAAAGAAAAAAAACAAATTTATATACAAGTAATAATTCCAAATAATTTACTTTTAATGGTGCAAGAGTACATTGATATGGATTAAAGCTAAGATTAACAGATGGCCATGCTTCATCATTGTCATATTCAACATTTATTAGGTCATCATAGTCAAATTCATTTGGCATATCATCTTCGTCGCTTTCTATGTCTTCATAAGCAATCTAATGATAAAAAAATATTTTCTTATTAAAAAAGCATTTTGAACTGTGTATACAAAAAAAAACTACTTCACTGCAACTGATAATTAAAAAGTTCACTTGTATGTCATTTGTGTGTTATTACCAAGTTCACTTGTAAGTTATTTATTAATTTAGTTTTATCAAAGGCCTTCACACAAAATACATGTTGTAAATGTAAAAATTAAAATACATCTTGTAAATATTATAAAAAGAATATTGTAATAAACCATGCAAAAGTCAAAGTTGCTTTAACACTAAGAGAGTAGGTGTAGATAACACTTATCAAAATTAAATCAAACAACAAACCAATAGAGACACTACAAAACTGCATGGTTCCATCAGCAGACATGCTGATTAATCAAAATAATGAGAGTGTTAACAAGATATAGGATCTGATTTTACAGTTAAAAGATTGATTGAAAAAAAAACTAGTGTGACTTAATACACTGGCCAATTTGACCATCAATTTTGAGTCCAATCAAATCTATTTGGACTTGCTCTGAACAAAGTTTAAAATAAGAATAATCTTATTAATAACAAAAAAGCACATTTTTAATACTTGTTTTGACTATTATTTTTGTTGAGCCGATTTTAATATATTTTATTGATTTTTATTGATAAATTATATTTTTTATCCTTAATGTTTTAATATTAAGGTTGAAATTTTATCATTTTAATCATGTGTTGTAAATCATTTTCAAAGTTTTCTAGGTTGGGAATAAATGGTGGGGCATTTTTTGTTTTGAGTTCCTTCAAAAAGTGAGCTAGAGCATGTTAATAAAAATAAATTGGACAAAATTAATATCATAAAACTAAATTAATAAATAACTTGCAAGTGAACTTGGTAATAACACACAAATGACATACAAAAAAAAACTAAATTTGCAGCAGTGGAAAAATACCCTGGATATTATAAATTGGTTTTCTAAAATTAATAACAAAAATGAATGCACATTTATATAATTTAATATTAATGATTTTTACCCCTCAATTACAGCAGAAACTTTAGATAAAACAATAGAAAAGGAAAAACCCACACTGAAATACAGACGACACTATTTATCTAACTAAACATTGCAAAAACACTTTACTCTATTTTAATAAGGAGACTTGCAAGAAAAAAACCCCACATGGATGCTTTGATGTAACAATGGGAAATTACATTGGAGCAGAAATTTGAGAATTTGTAGGCTTCTATATTTTTAATTTCCTAACTAAGAAAATTCATTTTAAACCAATTAGGGTTGTATTGTGATGATAGTTTAACAATAATGCAAAAAAAATCAAGGCCTCAACTTGACAAAATCAGAAAAAATATAGAAATTTTTGAAAATATTCCTTCCAAATTGAAATAAACAATTTAAAAACTGTGAATTTTCTTGATGTAACATTTAAACTCTCAGAAAATTCCTATAGGCCTTATAAAAAACCTCATGATGAATTAACGTATATTAGTATAAATTCCAATCACTCATCTCGAACCTCAAATCTTTAAAAAAAGTTCTTATTCCAATTAAGAATAGACTAAATCAAAACTCTTCAAATGAAAATATTTTTAACTCTTCTAAACACGTGTATGAAGATGCTCTTCTAAACACATGTATGAAGATGCTCTTCTAAACACGTGTATAAAGATGCTCTTAAAAAAAGCAGATTTAAAAATTTTGAGCTAAAATTTAAAACAAAAATTGCAAAAAAGCAAAATAGAAATAAATTTTAAAATAAAATTAATAGACAAACATTTCCCACTTAACAAATTGCAAAAAACTTCTAACAGATATACTACTAAAGTAAGTTATAGCTGTATAAGAAAGATCGAAAGAATTATAAAAGACCAGCAGAATGTTGCATTGATTAATAAAAATGAACTTCTTTAAGAAAAAAATACTGAAAATTGTATTTGCAAACAAAAAATTGACTGCCCTATAAATGGCAATCTTTTAAACATAAAAAATACTCAAAAGAGACTACGCTGTCAAAATATATTTAGGAAATAAAAAAAATATATATTAATTTTAAAATAAACTGGTCTATTGTGCATGCCATTTCAAAGAAATGTATACTATGTTTACAAGCAAAATTTAAAATACTCATTTGGATCAAGAAAATTAAAAAAAAAATCTGAACTAATTTCTAAATACAGAAATGAAAATAAGTACTTTTTAAAAAACTATAAAAACAAATGACCTAACTAAAATTATCTTAATTCTAAAGAATTCTTTTCATAACTAATTTTATAATTTTATTAAAATGTAGTTGATATAACTTCCTGGTTGCAAAATAACTACAGTTATTATATAATTAACTATAACAATTCCCTATTTCCTAAAATATTTTCTATAAATTGAATTTTTTGACGTTTAGACATTTTTCCTGATAAACCTACAAAAGGACAAGCAGCCCGTCGAAGAAAAAATTAAATGTGCTTTTACTAATTTAGTGCAGTGTATAGTATCACTTACGGAGACAGATTTTACCAAAAAAAACTAATACTTACGGGGACAATAGCATTATCGGGGATATTTTTATACACCCGTTAATTTTTTGTAATTTTAGTTAGGTCGTTTTTTTGTAATATAGCCTCACTGGCAACGACGTGCTGCTACATTGACTGAGGGTTTGGTTAGGGTCAGCATCAAAGTCAGACTTAGGGTTAGGGTTACGACAAGGTTTAAATATGGTTATAAATTACTGTAATTAATCATTTTTGTAAATAAATAAAGAAAAAATATATATATATATAATATATAACAAATAAATAAAAATAACAAAAATAAATATAAAAAATATATTTTTATAATAAAATAATAAATTTAAACATGCATAAATAAAAAATAGAAATAAAATTAAAATTTTAAAAATTATATAAATATGATAAAAATAGTAGAAAAAAATAAAATATAAAAACGTTACATAGTTACGTTAAAACAAAAAAACATGTCCTAGTAAATGGCGACTAGGATTTCGTGTGTGTGTGTGTGTGTTTATAAATATATATATATATATATATATATATATATATATATATATATATATATATATATATATATATATATATATATATATATATATATATATATATATATATATCAATAGATGTATTATATGTTAATGTGTTATTAGATGTGTATGAAACATCAATAATAGTATCATACTAATATTGCCATAGACTTTTAAAATTTAAATTTTACCTGAGCACTTTTTTTAGACACTTCCTCAAGTTGATTTTCAAAGAATTCATTTTCAGGACTTAATGGCTCAAACAATTCATCTGATATGTTTGTTGGCTTCTGTTTAAATAATAAAATTTTTAAAAATTATAAGCAAAGTAAACATATTTGTAATAATAGAAAAGAAAGAAAAAGTAATAAAAATGACATTAAAAGTCAAAACAAAGGATAACGAGGGAAATAAAAAGATAAAAAAAAAACTTCAAAAAATTAAACCTGATCTGTAGGATGATCATCTCTTCTCTCACGTTTATCATCAAATCTATCGTGATTGTCTCTACTATTATAGTTGTCATTGCGAAATTCAAAATACTCTCTTCGCCCGCTCTTTCTATCATCATCAAATCTATCACGCTTATCTTTGACACGTCGATCTCGGTCTTCCTCTTCTCGCCTGCGATCCACTCCTATTCGTCTATATTCTTCACGATCTTCTCTTGGGCTTTGATTGAAACTTGGACTGTAATTAGATAAATGTGGAGGAATATTAGAAGAATGAACCTCCATATTTTGAGTTTGAATATGAAGTTGTTGTAGACCAGCAATTTGACCTAACGCAGGATTAATCTGAGAAATCCCTAGCGATATTAAATAATTATAATATATTATGATCAAGAACTCATTTGTATAATATGAAAATACTATAATGCTATTTTATGAACTGCATATTATTTTGCAGTTAATGCTTTCAAAAAACTTATAAGAATTTATTAACACAAATAAGCCAATAAATAAAGTAGTCAAATAAAAAATAATACCTTATAATAGGTATATACCTTTTTCTTAATATTTATATTATATAAAACTTACCTGGAGGTAAAGCACTCATCAGATGATTATCAATAGTTAAAGGCAATTGTCTAGCTATTTCCATTGGAGGAGGTGGTGGAACTTGCATTGGGTCTTGGTGAAAGTGAGCAAATGTTCCATATATACACATTGTTAACCCTTTATACCAACTCCGAACCAAAGCAAAGTTTGTAGCAACCTAAAATTTAGTAAACTCACTTATTTTTAAACTTTGAAATCACTTTATTCATTGAGTTCAAAACATACTTTAAATTTAACTTAAATGTTATCAAATAAAATAAAATAAAAACAATAAACAATACTTTTGTGTGAACAATGAGTTGTATACTTTTTCCTTCTTCATAGTCTAACCTAAGTAATTTAACAGGAAAAATTTAAAATTATGACCCCCAATTCTACAAAAATATATTGGTCATAATAAAAAAGGTCATTGAATTTTGGGAATTTTAAACCCATTAAATTAAAATAAACAATCCATAAACAGAAAAGAGAAAAAAATCTAAAAAAAAAAAAAAAACTAATGCAAAATTAAACTTAAAAAATAAAATTTTTAAAGAATAACAAAAAAATTAAAAGAAAAACCAGAAAAAATTAAAACATTATTTAATGTAAACTTAATTCTAAGCAAAAGTTTAAATAAAAGTTTATCACAGCTCTATCAATCTTTATCATTCTCTTCCATAGTTAAATAGGCTAATACAAGGGCAAATCCATGTTGTTTAAAAATGTAAGTTAATTAGGCAGTTTAATCAAGCCGTGAAATTTAATAAAATTTTTTGGTACAAATTTTAAACTTTATTAAAAAGTTTAACAGGCTGCAATAAATCAACAAACATGCGCACGTTTGTTAAAAAAAAGACAAAAATGAACGAATGCATTACTTAAGCAATTTTTTTCAAATAATTTTGCGATTGATAGTTTTTTATTTGTTATAAAAAACTAATGTTTAAAATAAAAAACAATTAATTTCAGAGACTAAAAAAAACCATGCCGAAACATGATTACTTTCTTCAATAGCGTTACTTTTAAGTAAAATAACTAAGTACACTATTGAAAAAAGAAATTATGTTTTAGCATGGTTTTTGCATGTGCTTACAAAAGTTTACTTAAAAGGAATGCTTTGGCAATTACTTCAAAAGAAACGATGCTTAAACATTATAATTGTTTTCTATTATTAAAGAAAGTGATCATAATGCTTAAGCGTGGTTTCTTTTAAGTAATTAGCAATTACATTAAAAGCTTGAAGCAAATGCATTCATTTTAAATAAAATTTTGTATGCTTGATTTATTTTTAAATTTTTTTATTTTCATTAAAATAAAGTAATGTTTGTTTGCATATTAAAAAGACTTTTTACAAGTATGGAAAAAAAATTTTAAGTTTTGGTGATATATATATATATATATATATATATATATATATATATATATATATATATATATATATATATATATATATATATATATATATAACCTAATAAAATATATAAAACTATTGTGATTATTATCGTTTTTATTTTTTACTGTGAATGTTCATTAAAAAAAATGATTGTCGACTTGGGATAGTTAAAAAATAGTTTGCAAATGTGATTATTTCAAAATTATTGTTATTATTTTGTTTAGTAATGTAAATAATTTTTTTGATTAGAAAATGATTTTTTGATAGCTTCTGTACTCATTTTGCCTTAAACTCTAATCTGAATATTTTTTTCAATGATTACCTTTTATTACATTGCAATAAAGTACTCAGGAAATTTTGTCCCAGTTTAATTGTAATAATGGAATCAATTAAATTAAAAATTGTATTTATGTTTGCTTTGTTTTTTTTTAACACTTTTTTTCAAAGCGCTAAATTTCAAAACATGGCCAAGTTGTCAAAAGAAAGCATTATATGTGTGGTCATATAAGGCGTGCAACCACATGCCTCTTACATGAAGGCCTGATATATGTATATAAAATGTGCTTATATATATATATGTATATACAAATAGTATTGCGTACTAAGGTAAGCAATCTGATGTCATACTGAAATAGCTTGCTGCTGGGGGTTTCAGTACATACATCGACTGACAAATAGCCTGACTCGCAGTGGAGTGCTGCTACATCGACTGAGAGTTTGGGATGGGGCAGCAATCGTTTCATTCATCATTCTTTTTTTTTTTCTTCTTTTTCTAAAAAAGTTGTATGGATAAAGGTAAGCAAAAAAAGTGAGCAAAGGCTTATAAAAATACGCTTTAGTAAATGTGTGTGTATGTATATATATATATATATATATATATATATATATATATATATATATAATATATATATATATATATATATATACATATATCTGTCATTTTCATATAACATTAAATACTGACATATAATATTGATATAATACATATTTGTTGTGTGTGGGTAGCAACTTTATTGCTTCCAGCACACAATAAAACATTTCTGTTACTATGATTAACAAGTAAACAGTAGAACAAGATAACCAAAATATGTATTGTCAGAGAATAACTTGTTTGACTCAAGATGAGATACTAGAAAACAGTTAATTAAAGACTCAAAGACCTTGCTAAAAAGAGTAAGACTATTGGGGAATAGTTCAAGGTATCATAGCTATATTAGGATTTTGAAAAAAGATAACATCTTAAACTTGCCTGAAGATTTTTTAAAAGTCACAAGAACAAAAATCTATTTTCCAGAGCAAAAATATAATCTAGGACAAATAGACCTTAGTGATAGCTTTTTTAGTATCAACTTCTTTGATAAAAAGATGTTTGTTCCCAAAAAAGTTGTTTTGGTGGAAAAGATAAAAAAACAAACAAAACAGATACATTAAAAAGATGAAACTTTGAATGATGTGTCAAGTGAGAATGAGTTTTGGTTTATAGAACTAAAGATAATGGCTCTAATGAGAAGTGACCATGAAAGTATTTGTAAAAGAGAAAAAGAGATGCTACCTTATGGTGATTGGACAGAGGCAAAAGCTTGGCAGATAGAGGTTTAACTAAACTTATAATATGTTTTTAGACTTTGTTTTAAAAAAAAAAGACATTAGAAAAACTACCCTACTAAAAACTAAATTAAAATTTGCAGAGTTTCCAAATAACTACCCTACTAAAACTACCCTAAATATTAGACAAAAAAGAGATTTGTATAGATAGAAAATGAAATCAAGAGTAAGAAAATGACATGCACAATAAAGAGAGGTATATATGGCTTCCATGAGATGTTAGTGAATGATAATCTGATGTAAACTAGAACACTCAGTGAGAGAGTTTCTATTCATCAATATAGAAATATCAATAATATTGTGATAATAGTTTGCAGCAAATAGGTTTATTTTCAGTTAAGATTCACAAGTCACTACAAGACCCAAGCTGCCACAGAAAAAAGATCAGATTCAAGATTAACCCCTTTTTCTAAGTGATCAACTTTTTTGACTTTTTGTCAAGACTGAAGTATATAGTTAATGTCATCAGCAAATAAAGCTTTAGTAAGATTTTCATTAAAAAAGATGAATAACAACACACAACCAAAGAACTTTGTAGTACCCCAAAAGTTACTAAAGAAGAGTTAGATGAAAAAGAATTTTGACCTCTAATGATAATTTTAAAACTGAGGATAAAAGAAATGACTTAATTACCTTAAAAACTGTCCATATAAAGTGAGCTTATGGAAAAGAACGGTATGCAAGACTTTATGGAAAGCTTTTGCTATGTCAAGAGCAATAGCTTTCCATAACCTTGATAATAGAGAAAAAACAGATAGGACGATAATAAGAGGGGTCAGAGTGTTCTTTAGATTTTTAAAAACTGGAGCCTCAGATGTCATTTTTTAACAGGAAAGCAAAATTCAGTTAAGCACTTGTTAAATAGTTTAAAGATATTATTGTTGAATCAGTAAAAAAAGAGAAATGACTTTAGCAACAAAACCAGATCTTGATGTCTAACAATTCATAAACCTGTTTCTCTGGAATGACAAAAAGAGCATAGCCATTAGATTCAAGAGACAAATTAGAGCAAAATTTCTTTGCAAATAATAAGATCAAGCCCCATGTATTAGAAAATTTCAGATTTACTTCAACAGTGTCATAAACTTTGTTAATGAAACTTTTGTCTCTAAAATCTAATTTCTTAGATAAAATACAAGATTTAGTGAGAATATTGGAGCTTGGCATCAGAAAACACTTTTTAACATTGGTCTTTTACAATAATAAAAAGACATTTTTTAAGACAGTTGTTCATGTAAAAATGAAACAATCAAAATTAGAAATAGCAGCTGCACAAAAAGGTAAAAACAAGAAGCCATGGGATAGAATGAGACTTGAAACAAACAAAAACGAGAGACATCAGCATAATTGAAGACCACCATTATGAAATCCACAAACAGAATCCTAGTTAGCTTTAAGGGAGTAGCAAGAAGTGTCACAATAAATATGAAGAGAAAGTACAAAAGATTTAAAGTGATCATGGTCCAAATCACCTATAGGAGAACAAGGAGAAACTAAACAGAAGTAGAGAACAATAAAGAATAAAGTAAAAAGTGATCGAGTGAAGTGTACAAAAAGGAATAGTAAGGAAACCTCCTTCACAACAAGTAGGTGAATTGATAGGTAAGAACATGCCCAAGTTCGAGTAGAGTCAAAAAAATCCAGTGTTCATCAACTTAGACAAAAAACAGTATAACATGAATCTACAAACCCGCCAGCCTAATAGGTAAAGGCTGGTGAACACAATTTTTCTGCTTACCCCTAAATTTATTGTCTTTGGAAGTTTTCTACAAGACAGTCACAGGATGCAGTTAACACATAACCAAGATGATTTTTTATTGATAAACTATTACTAGCTAGCTTTTACTCGACTAAGAGCCCTAACACAGGGGTAATTTATGTTGGAATTTACTTTTCCTAGCCTTCACCTAGAAAAGCCAATCCTACAAGGCAGCAGGGCAGGTTGTGCTAGATTCTATGTTATTAGTAGCATGGCAATAAACCTAAGCTTACCTGCAATTTCTATAAGAAATAGCAGCAGCACTAAGAGAAAATCAGGGGGTAAGTGAGCCTTGTATTAAAAACACCAATAATTAAAAGATTACATCACTACGTGAACTCAGGAAATTACATAGGAGGCACAATTTTAGTAACGAAATGAAAGCAGTCAACTTAAAGACCGTAACAAAGAAAATCACAAATAGAATCCCAGTGAGCCTTAAAGTAGTAGTAATTTATGTAATGGTAAGGTTTTAATTTACAAAATTTACTAGAGCCAAGCCATTCAGTGCAACAAGCATTAAAGTCACGGAAAGTAAAAATATTTGCAAATGGATAATGAGAAAGGACTTGGTCAATTTGATTAGAACCAATGAGTGAAATTTGTGAAGTAGGAGAACATTAAATAACAAAGAGAAAGGTGATTGAGTAAGGTGGTGCTTAACATAAAAAAATTAAAAAAACAAACTCAGAGGATTCAAAACTGAACCAACAGGTGAACTTGTACAAAAGTATATGTCATGGGGATATTAGAATCTTTGCAAACCAAAAGATTTATAGCTATCAACACTAAGATGTAAAGATCAAACAGCTAAATTTAAATTATTCTCACAAAGTGCATGTAGGTCTGGTGAACTTTGCAAGACATAAATATTTAGGATAAAAAGTTACTTTGCAGCCCTCAAATATTTGTACAAGATTTGTGGTAAGAATTATTTTTGGTGTTCAATATTTTTGACAAATTTTATATACTATATACTAGGGCTGTACCAGATTTCGGCTCCAGCTCCTGCCCAAATCCAGCCATTTTTACAAATCCGGCCCAAATCCCGCTCCGGCAAAATATCAGCAAATCCGACATAATTTTGGCTTGATTTCTGAATTTTGGTCAGATATTTATAACATATTTTGTGCCCGTGTTTACATGTATACTTAATAATTTATTTATACATAATAATGTTTTTTGTAATTCTATATTCTATGAACTTTATGTTTGGTTTGGTATCTGTATTTGCATTTCTTTACAATTTAATTAGCTAAGCCTAATTTCAAACAACAACGCAACAAAAAATTATGAAGGGATGACACCAATATATTCTACAATGATGCAGGTGTAAAGACTACGAAGTCAACCCTAATTAAGTCATTGGATGAGCGTTTTAAAGGTATTGCGAAGAAACTTCTTTATATAGTGGCAACACTGGTTAATCCACAATCTAAAACTAAATTCTTCTCAATACAGGCAACACTGACAGGTGAAAAAGCAATATTGAAGTAAATCTTAGCATGCTGAGCAGCAGATTGACAAAACTAAAGAAAATCCAGCAAAACAAGCCCGGCTGGTCATTTTTCTACGCCATCATCATTATCCTAACAATATGAATGATGAAATTATTCAGTCTATGTCAGCTGGTGGCATAGCACATGAACAACAATTACCAACAGGCATTGACACTCAGCTAAGCCATTATCTGGATGAACCAAAAATAAATAGACACAATGATCCACTACAGTGGCGGAGTGATAACATCCCGTAAAAAAAGTTCTTTAGAATTTCTCTAAACTTATGAAACATATGGTCTATAGAAATTCTATAGAATTTGTATAGAATGTCTATTAATTTGTATAGAATGTCTAGAAATTGCTATATAACTTTTTTAATAACAACAATGAAGTTTAAAAGAAAACACCTGTCATTTGGTATTCTAAATAGTCAACATGGTTGACCATTCTCAGCACCAAGTAGAGAGTACAGGAATTTGTCTACTGTAATTTTGTTTCAAAATCCAGCTCCGGCTCCGATTCTGGCCGGATCTGTTAGTAGAAATCCGGCAAATTCGGCTCCAGCCGGATCTGGAAAAATTAAATCCGCTACAGCCCTACTATATACTAAGTGATAATTTGAATTATTAGAGAGATTTCACTCAAACGTTAATTTAAATTATTCAAGAGTTTTCACTCAAATATAATTTTATATTATTAAAGAGATTTCACTCAAATGTAAATTTATGTTATTAAAGAGATTTCACTCAAATATAAATTTATATTATTAAAGAGATTTCACTCAAATATAAATTTAAATTATTATAGAGATATCACTTAAACTTAAATTTAAATCATTAGAGAAATTTCACTCAAACGTAGATTTAAATTATTAGAGAGATTTCACTCAAATGTAAATTTAAATTATGTGAGATTTCACTGAAAGGTTTATAGTACATGGCACCTTCAGTCAGTCCTGTTAATCAACTCGAAGTTGTAACAAAGAACTCTTCATCTGACCTCAATAATGCCCTCCAAAAAAACTGGATGGACAAAACACATGCGCACAATGTTTTAGAAACCTTACTACCATCGAGTTTAAGTATTAAACCTTTTTAGAGTTTTAAAGCTCTTAGAAGATAACAGAAAGAGCACAGCTGCTACCAAATGTCTGTGAGTAAAATTTAGGATTATCATTCATCACCCAAAAGAAAAAATAATATAACATAGGGGTATATATAAGCCAGCATATTAGATAAAAAAAAAAAAAAAAAGTGCACGACTTGAAACTATCCGAACCATACTAAACACCAGAAATACACAAAACACTAGAAACTACTTATAAAATCAGTAACTGTATAAAGTACAAGGAAATATAAGTAACAAAATATCAGTAAATACACAAACATCAAATCATCATAAAGATACATAAAAATATATGCTAACCTAACTGCTGACCTTAAAGTGTTTAAGGTCGGCAAAAAACCACCAACCTCATTTTTATGTTTTATGGCAACCCCTTTGTGTCAAATTTTTTTTGTCCACCTGATGCTGACCTCTAACAGTTTGAGGTCAGCAATTTATTGTCTTATTTTTTCTAAATCCGAGGACTGTTTATATATAATATATAAAGCAATTAATATTAATTTTAAATTAATAAATAAAAATTAGAATCTTACACTCCTAAACGTTCAAAAACAGCAGCATTAGGCTTTAAAAGATTTCTGGCAAATATTTCAAGCTTGAATGAAGATGGAGTTGTTTCACTTTAAAAATAAAAAGCAGGAAAACAAATATAAATAGTACAAATTAAGTAAAAAAATATGCATAGTACAGATTTAATGATGTAAATACACACACACACATATATACATATAACATTAAAAGAACATTTAGATCAGCAACATGATCTCATACTGATTTAGGGAGCTGTGAGGGGTTCAGCACATACATCAACTGATTTAGGAAGAGCAAGAAGTAGCAGCTAGATCTGCTAAGGTTTGGGTTAGGGCACCAATAAGTTTTTAACATATAAAAATTCAGTCATTTAAAAAATTGAAATATCCAACATTTTTTGCTTTAAAAGTGATGCTTGATAAATATATTTTAAGTTGTGAAGAGACCAAGACTAAAAAGAAAACCAACAAAAACAAGACAAACAATTTCAAATACACAACTTAAAAAAATGCTTTAGTCAATTTTCTTTATAAAATACCCTAATCTGTCTCTAATCTGTGGGTGAACCTTGCAGCCTTGTGGGATCACTCGAATTTCAGTTATAAAAACTGGTTGAGCAAAACGAACCAGATCAAGTTGCATTTCCTAAATACCAAAGCAAAAATAATAAACTGTAATCTAAAGAATTTTTAATAAGCCCTAATTAAAAAAAAAAAAAAACTAATATTGATTAGACAAAATAAGCAGCAACAAGGTTAGTTTAACTTTACTTTTTTCAATATCAAGACATAAAAAAAAATTAAATAAAGTTAAACAACTTGTGTTACAATACTAAACAATACTGGTGGTATAACCAAACATAATATATATATATATATATATATATATATATATATATATATATATATATATATATATATATATATATATATATATATATATATATATATCTATATAAATATATATATATGTGTATATATATATATATATATATATATATATATATATATATATATATATATATATATATATATATATATATATATATATATAGGCTTCGGCAGGAATGACGGGCTATAGCCCGTGTCCGTCTCCGCACCCGTCTAAGTCAGTTTAGACGGGCGAAATAAAGCCCGTCTGAAACATAAGTTTTGTGTAAAAAAAAAGATGAATATTTTGATGTTTTTTTATTAAGATACTCTTTTAAAACTTCTCTCATGACATAATTTTAATATGGATAGCAAACTCCAACTTATAATTGTTTATATTTAAATATAAAAAATAAACAATTTAATCATTATTGTATAACATGATGTAGAAAATAATATAACTAAATCTTACAGTTTTTTAAACGACGATAACTGTTTGATATAATACCAAACAGTTACCATATTATGTTCAAAATTTAATAACTATTATATTAAATAGGGAAATATACACATGTGATGCACAAGAAGTATCATGTTGTTTTGGTTTTTCAATGTTTATAATAATAACGATAATAAACTAATTATCCATGTATTTCGCTTTTTTCCGATAAACTAGTTTGTCTTACTTTAAAGACATTTAAAGTGATATTTCCGCGTTAACTTCCGCGTTAACTTCACGCTTTTTCTTAAAGAGACGGCAGTTTATTTAATATGCAATTATATAACTCGTTATTGAAAATGAAATATCTCATTAAAAATCAACAAATGTCTAATCAATTTTTGTAGATAATATAAATAGTGTTGCTTTATAGTTATGAAGTTATTCAAGTTATCCAGTCATTCAAGTTTTTCAAGTTATTCAAGTTTTTCAGTAAAGATAGTAATGGCATCATCTGGTAGAAGAGTTACATTAGCAACATTTTTGAGTTGGGGTAAAGATGGAGTCTGTGGAAAAGAAACTGAGGTGATGAATGGAACAATTTTTGTTGTGAAGATATGGTGTATGGTTTGTATAAAATATAAAAAAGAATTGCTTCGCGAGTTAAAAGGTCTGGCAAAATCAAAAGCATTAGCATTTATAGAGGGCACTACGAACGTTAAAGCTAGCAACATACATACGCTTATATACATGCTTATATTGTATATAAAGTAACGGAAGCCCCGGTATCTTAAGAAATTATTAGTACTTCTAAATAAAAACTTATTTTATTAAAAGAAATTAGATTTCAAATTTTTTATTCACGTATCAGAATAACTATTTCCGATCAGGATAGGCATAGGTAAAGCAAAGTTATAAAAATATAAATAACAGTTTAAGTTTTTAATTTGCACACCCAATAGAATGCAAGAGTATATAAATAATTGAATTTGAAAAATAACATAGTTACGTATCATATTACCAAGCTAATACCAAACAATTCTAAAACTATCGAGCTCATTGATTCAAGGTTAAAAAAAAAAAATTCAAACTATTTGCTGAATAATTAAAAAAATTAGATTTTGAAAATATTATGTAATATTTTTATTCACAAAGAATAAGAGAAACGAATGAACTAAAAAAGCACGATAAAAACCTGTATAATTTAATCGAATACTTGAATAAAACAATAATATATAAATATACTCAAAAAGACTTCGGTAAAAAAACACGTTAGGATGCTTGAATAAGGAAACGTGATGAAACGCCATGGTTGTTTCGAGGATTTTCCCCGTCGTTTTCACGTTCATTCGTTTGACTATATCTGCCAGATATTATCTGGAATAAAGATTAAAAAAAAAAAACATAAAAAACTGAATAAAGTTCCTTCGAGTAAGAAATCTAAACAAAAGCAACCATAAAACAACTAACCCACGTGAAACGAAATTAGATCTGTGCAAGTGAAAACTTTGAAAAACAATTATTGAAATCTTAGTTTTAAGTATTATCCAACTCATTTACTGCAGTGTTTTAATTACTTAAGTAATTAAGCATTTTAAACAGTTAATCGCTTTCTAAAATATTATTTTAGTGCAATTCACAAAATGTTTAATATTCAATGACATTTGCATTCAAAAAGAAGAAGAGAAATTAACAAATTTAAAAAAAAAAAGTTCAAACTTTGGAATTTTTTTTAAAGTTTAAAAAAGCCCGTGCAAGACCATCTAGACGGGCGGACCTCATAGCCCGCCAAGTCTATTTAAGACGGGCTTTTCATAGCCCGTACGGTTTTTATTCCTGCCGAAGCCTGTATATATATATATATACAAATTAGTAGAAAATCACTTAACAAAATTTTTTTTTCATTTTACACTGTGTTTCATCAACAAAGACTCATCAGAAATTTTCTTAGTTACAATACTAAACAATACTGGTGGTATAACCAAACATAATATATATATATATATATATATATATATATATATATATATATATATATATATATATATATATATATATATATATATATATATATATATATACCCATATAGTGTAGTCAAAAGAGCGTTTTAATGTAAAAAAAGTCTCTTACGACTACAATTTTAATTAACTCGTCTCTTAAGCTGTTTTTGATTGTCATCGAAATGTCAAAGCAATTAATTTATGCGGAAGTACATTAAATTTAATTGTTTTTTAAAAAATTTCTAAAAAACCGCAATTATAACGACTAGAAAGTTTTTTTTAATTAGTGGTGTTTTTGTTATTGATTTAAGAAAAAAACATTTTTAAAACATGCGTAAATGTTGCTACATCGACTATCTTATAGCCTGACTCACAACGGAGTGCTGCTACATCGACTGACAAATAGCCTGACTCGCAACGTAGTGCTGCTACATCGACTGACAAATAGCCTGACTCGCAACGGAGTGCATCTACATCGACTGACAAATAGCCTGACTCGCAAGAGAGTGCTGCTACATCGACTGAGGGTTTGGTTTGGCCAGGCAGTCTATCAATTAAAAAAAAAATTAATTTTTCAAACTTTTTCTGGTCTGGTTTATTAACGCGCTCTTTAAAACTACAGTTTATGGGAAACTTTTTTTGATGCTATGCAAGAGACATGCAAGAGTATATATATATATATATATATATATATATATATATATATATATATATATATATATATTTATATTTATATATATATATATATATATGTATATATATATCTATATAAATATATATATATGTATATATATATATATATATATATATATATATATATATATATATATATATATATATATATATATATATATATATATATATATATATATATATATATATATATATATACAAATTAGTAGAAAATCACTTAACAAAAATTTTTTTTCATTTTACACTGTGTTTCATCAACAAAGACTCATCAGAAATTTTCTTTGTTGATGAAACACAGTGTAAAATGAAAAAAAATTTTTGTTAAGTGATTTTCTACTAATTTGTATATATATATATATATATATATATATATATATATATATATATATATATATATATATATATATATATATATATATATAGCGGTAGTGGTGTAGTGGTAAAACACTCGCTTCATAAGCGAGAGGTTCGGAGTTCGATCCCCACCACGTCCCTGGTAGTACCGCGCTCAACTCGTTTCTCCGCGCAGCGGCCTTGTTCGTCAAGGTTCGTGTTTCGGAGTTATAGAGTTGAGAGAGGGTATTAACCACTATTAGTAGCCTCCTCGTCTGTAGTGGCCTTCCCGGCCTTGAGGAGGTGAATAACAAAAAAAAAAAAAAAAAAAAAAAAATATATATATATATATATATATATATATATATATATATATATATATATATATATATATACATATACATATATATATATATATATATATATATATATATATATATATATATATATGTATATATATATATATATATATATATATATATATATATATATATATATATATATATATATATATATATATATATATATATATATATATATATATATATATGTATATATATATATATATATGTATATATATATATATATATATGTATATATATATGTGTGTATAAATATATATATATATATTTTTTTTTTTTTAATTTGCATTCACTCCCAACAAGGCTGCAAGCAACCACTATTAAGTTGGGAGTTACTAGGAAAAAAAAGAAGAACAGAGTTATAGAGCAAGGAAACGGTTGACAGAAGACTTGAAAAGTTGAAGGTTGTATGAGTCAGGAAAACATGAAGATGGGAGAGAGTTCCAAAGGATTGAAGTGCGGGGAAAAAAACTAGATGAATAAAAGTTTTTAGAGCATGCAGGGACAGATACAGTAAACGAATGAGACTTAGCTGAATGACGAGTAAAACGAGAATGAATTTTAGTTGATGGAACTAGAGATGATAACTCCTTTGAGCAGTGACCATGATAGTATCTGTAGAACAGAGAAAGAGATGCAACTTTACAACGATGGGAAAGAGGCTCAAGCTTAGCAGATAGTCCAGGTCCAACAACATTTACAATGCGTTTTTGGACCTTGTCAAGAAGAGAAAGTGAATCGTTAGAAGAATCAGCCCAAATATGACAACAGTATTCCATACAGGGACGAATAAGAGATTTGTAGAGGTAGAGAATGGAATCAGAAGTAAGGAAATGGCGAGCACGATAAAGAGAAGGAACCTTAGCAGAAGCTAATTTAGCAATCGATTGTATATATGGTTTCCATGAAAGGTCAGTAGTAAGCGATAATCCGAGAAGACGTAAAGAG